AAATTATTAATTCATTTCAGGTATAACACCAGTGTAACTGTGAGAAACCGCAAACAATACCACCAACTGGAATGCCTGACCGATCTAATATGATGCATATAGTTCCTACTATTCACAATAATATGCAAGGAACTATAGTTGTACCGCAACATGATAATTCGGAATTTATTATACCCACGATAATGGAAGAATCTCAGGAGTAAGAAAATTAACTTATTTTTGATGTATTAACTTTTATTATAATGAAATAATAATGTACTTTCTTACACAGTGTGATAACTAATTCAAACACAACTCAATACATTAATCAAGATAATCAGACAACCTATAGCATAACAGCGCAGCCACAAATACATGTTGCTTCAATAGCAGAAGCAGTCAGAAATCAACAACATGTTGTACTGCAACAAAGTTTAATGCACAGGTAATTCAATATTTTATAACAGAAAATTATGTTAAACTTTAGACTGAAGTAATCTTTGACAGAAGACTACATTTTGCAAGCTGCTTTCAGTTTCATTGAATTGTTTAACATTTTATTAATTTTAATCTGACTTAAAAATGCTTAGTTAAGCGTAATGGAATTTTTTTTAGAGAAGGTTTGTTCAAGTATTAAAATGCTGAATTAGCAAAATGTATTTGTAATGAGTAAATTTTTGACTGACTGCGAAGATAAAATTGTTCTATTTCTAGAACTAGATCTATAATTTCAGTAATTTCTAACACATCATTGAATTATTAATTGGCTTCCCAAAGTAGTAGTTTGTTTTCGCGAAAAAACCGATTTGTTAATTTTAAGATTTTTCGACGTTTCAAGTCATTCTGAATCCAATGAGATCAAATTTGGGAAAAGAATTGTGTATGTGTGAATGTGAGCCTATTTTTGACTTTTCGTCGACGTTTTCTCAAAAACGGCTGGACCGATTTCAAAAATTTAAAAGCCATTCGATGTATCTCGATGAGGACTCACATCAATTAGTTTCATCGGCAACGATCGGCCGAGCCGTTTCTTTGTAATTAAATGTTGCAAAAAATCTTACGTAGACGTTTTAAACCACAGCTTTGAATCGATTTTAAAAATTCAAAAACTGTTCAAAAGATTTGGTTGGGAATCACATCCATTAGTTTTTATTAAATATAGCCTGATGAAGTTCCGTACAGAGATAGATTTCGTAGTCTATGAGAAGCGCGCTTAAATTTGAATTTTTATAATACAAACTGGCGGCATTATAAAAATTCATCAAAGTTTATAATTTCGTGAGTTTGAGCGATTCTTATCAGAATCTATGCCGAAGCATCTGTATGTTCTATGGTGTTTACATCTTCACTCAAATAAAATATTTTTTTTGAAATACGAAAAAGATGAAATAAAATATGTTAAACAACTTAATTCAATTTTTGCAATTACATAATATATAAGTGTGTTTCAAAGATTTCAATTATTTTTAATGAAAACTAAATCGTTATTTTCGAAATAAACAGTTAAACATTTTATCTATTATATACTTAGGCTATTATTTACACGTATCGGGAAGCTTATTATCTTTTAGCGCCAAATGCTGCTTACAACTAGTTAAATTATAGTAGTAGTGCATAACAATGGGCTATTTTCAATTGGAAGCATATTTTTGATCTATATCTTCGAGTGAAAATTGACATCGCTGCTGTACAATGCCACGATGACAATTCGAAGTCACGACCGTGCCACACGAGTCCGTGAGCTTAATCGTTTTTCAGTTAGAAAATTTTAGTTTTTATTATGATATATTATGAAGTTAATTGAAATTCTAATCGTTAATTGATACTCACGTTTATATCTTCAGTTCTTTTTATACATATTTTAAGTGGTACAAATTCACATCCGAATTATATTAATTTTATATATTTTAGTCAATTCAGCTGATAAACACTCAACCAGCGCACAGTCAATTGATCTCAAATGGAATGGTGTGTTCGACAGCCTATGCAACCACACCAATTGTTAACTATATTGGCTCTGCAGGAACTGCAGCTGTACTTGGGATATACAATCTCCAAGGGCTTGATATATCTACAACTGATTTATTACAAACTGGCAGCACAATACAAGGTCATAGATAGGATTAGATTATACATGCCCCAATGCCATAAGTCTGTGAAAAAAAAATTTTAATTGATTCAATCGAACGTAATTAATCTTATTCTCTATACTATATAAATAGTACATAGCGAAGCTAATTTATGATTATCAATATTGTTACTTTGTCATATGTTCCACATAAATGATTGTACTATTACTATTATTATTGGTGCTCTGTCCGAAGGCAGGTCCATACATGAGCACCACATTTGATTTTTTCCGTACCGTGTCTTGTGCCTTGGCTTTCAGTGCTCATTATCAGTATTTTTTCTTCCAGCGGAAGTTGTCCACAATCAGAAGTTTATTCGTCTTCGTCATTTCAGACTCTCTATTTTTCCTTTGAGGACGGCATGCAATAGATATTCTTTTCCTAATAAGAATTTTACTAGATCTATAAGCACAATAATTAGTATCTTATATAAAACTCATGACCGCATTTTTTTTTCAAGAGTGTAATGTACTTGTTTTTTAATAATGACTAAAATAGTGCAGTAAACGGAGCGTTTTAGGTCTGAATTTTTTTACTGTGCTCCGAATTGAATGAAATTTCGGAATTAGGTTCATCTTACCCTCAAGTTCAAAAGTGAAAACATTTCGGGTTGCGCCATCACCCCCGGGGGATGACACCCCTTCTCAATGGCGTAATTATATTTTTTCAAAATAACGTCGGAAATCGATAGAAGAACTAATTATAAGAATAAAATGTCTTCTATAGTTTTTCAAAAAAACTAATACTTTTCAAGTTACTGGCCACTAAAGATTCATATATTTTTGACGTTTTTCTTCGTTTTTTTGCAAATATCTCCTAAAATATACATTTTAACAAAAATCATGTAATGAACAAAATAATGTCAATAAAAATCTTAATAAATCGGTATTACATAAAGTGTTCTAGGAAAAATATTAAGCAAGATTTGATAGAGCAAAGTCGTTTTTTATTTCGTTCAAGATTTAATTGTTGTATTTAAAGCCATCTAGTGTCGAGGTTTTACATTTTATGCATTTCGGTGAAATTGGGTTTTATAGTGCTCAACATAAGCTTTAAAATGAGTGCTGTTACAAGTTTTTTACGTGTAAAATGAGTGAGCTATCATGCAAATAAGAAGCATATACGAAGATTTTTTCTTTTAAATCATATGGTTTAATGAGCGCTATTTCCACCAGAATTAAAGTAATTCACATTCCATCTAGAATTCACTTCATTATAGATATCTTGATAGATTCTAGCAGACTCACTACTTTAGTACAAACTATTTTCAGAAAACCCACGATTTTATAAAAACTTTTTTCTCCATTTTTTTTTAAAATCGAAATTATTTTCATTATATCTCAAAAAGAATAAAAGATACGTATAAAAGCATATAGATAAAAATCAAAGGGATCTTTCTGGCTTATTATTGTTTTTTATTATTTTTCTTTCACACAAAAATTGACAGAGTTATGAATGTTTAAAGACTGCGCGGCCGCGCAAATTGAAAAAAAAAAATTTTATAAAATCGTGGGTTTTCTGAAAATAGTTTGTACTAAAGTAGTGAATCTGCTAGAATCTATCAAGATATCTATAATGAAGTGAATTCTAGATGGAATGTGAATTACTTTAATTCTGGTGGAAATAATTACGCAATTGAGAAGGGGTGTCATCCCCCGGGGGGTGATGGCGCAACCCGAATTGTTTTCACTTTTGAACTTGAGGGTAAGATGAACCTAATTCCAAAATTTCATTCAATTCGGAGCATAGTAAAAAAATTCAGAGGTTATACCCTTTTTTCCTCTCCGTTTACTGCACTAAAATTATTGCACTGAATTTCACAATGATAATAGTATAAGAACATGTATTTGCATAAGTATGAAAATTAACTTTAACAAATCGTTAGAGTTAATAAAATTGTTTTTTTTTTGCAGACTTATGAATTTATCTATTATGGCTACTTTCTTAGACTCATTTATAAGTTTCAGTGATATTTCAGTTTTTTATTTAACTATTATGAGTTATTGACCAAGATATTGATAGAATATGTTAACTAAGATATTCAATGAGTAAAATAGTATCTGGAATATTGAGAAATTGATTCATCACTAAATAAATCATATCAATAAAAACCCCTTAAACAACATTAATAAATATGATGTTTTAAAATTTACTCAACACTACATTCCAATTAATGTAAAGAGATATATGTTTTATATTTATTTTAATATGCAAATTTATATATCAATGATAAAGTATTAGATTCTTATAAAATTAATATTTAAGCAACACAAAAATCATAGAATCTAATGAAGTCTGCTTAATCATGATCATAATTATATCTTGTAATTTATTTTGATGGATATTTCTCAAATCAAATCATTTCATCACATTTAGTCATTCGTAAAACATTCATTTCTAGTAATAATGTTTAATATTAATTTTATATTGATGATCGTTTTAAAATAATTGTTAGAAATCAGAGAATTCCCTAGTGTGTAAGATATAGTTGTACATATTTTTATACAGAGCTCAAAACTAATAGACACTATACTATACCTTCTATGAGAAATTGTCTTCTTTTAGTAATTGCTGAAATTATCATAATTCATTAATAATGTGAGAAAATGATAATAAAAGATAATGGAAAATAATAAACATTTCTTACAAGGTAAAATACCTAGTACGTATTTTTTATATTGTCGTAACTACATTTTTTGGATACACATCTCATAAAAAGTATTTATTTTAGTATGCTCACTATTATTTATATATCATATTCAATTACTGAGAAGATTAATATTTTGTAAATCACCCTTACCGATTAATTTTTGTTAATACCAATGGCACGTTTTGCGTAATTTTTCTGGAATTTGAGAATTGAACTTGAATAAACCATTAAATTTTTGTGCCATATCTTCGAACGTAAAACGACATAGAACTATAGTTTGAAAATATGTGCCAATATATATTAAATTTACATGTCAATTGTAAGGTTCTGAAATCATTCTAGAATTTATCATTGAGTGGTAATGTAATTATTGCTCTTCTACATTACAGTGCCTAATAGCATTCAATTAGTTACATAATGTCAATTTTTGCAAGCCTATATTTTAGAGCCATTAAATTTCAAGTTATTATTATTTTTATAAAAAATATAATACTCTTTGCAATGAGCATTCACTTTTAATGTAAAGTTTAAATTTCAAAGGTTAAAATAATTCTCAATATATTAGTGAGGGTAAATCATTACTACACAATTCATATTTTAATATATAATTCTAATTATAAAATAATTTACTATCATAAAACAGACAAAATATTTCTTTTGTGATCTCGAGTCTTGTCATATTGAATATTTCAAGTACATATATCGTTTTGCTCAAAGAGTATATTTTCAAAAAATTAATATTGGAAGTTTTATTACAAGTCGTCCAAATCTTACAATACAGTTTTTTATCAAAAGTATACTGTTCATGTGCAAACAGTTTTTTATTCATTTCACAATAATAGATTTATTACGAACAAGATCAATTTGAATTTGCCAAATTGTATTATTGTATAAAAAATAAGATACATATGAGTGTCGTATCCGATAAATTTTCTCTTTTTTTCATATTATTTTTTATTTTAAATTAGTAAACCAGCGATTCTTTGAATTATAACCATTCATATATCAAATTGTAAGAATTTACTATTGTACTTTAAATGAGAGTATTAATTTTTTTTTTAAATCAACAAAAAACATTTTTTGTTACATCTTGGCCTTTTATCTTTAGTTAAAATGAAATAAAACTTTTAAATGGCGAAGAATTTAATTTAGTATTACAAATACATTTTAACAAAAATCGAAATTTTGTATAAAATATTTGATAGAATGTTTTGCTATCGAGTATGTCAAATATATCAAGAAATAATAAGCTATCATGATAATTTTTTTTTAAATTTTTTAGTATGATCTCATAATTTCTGTTCTTCAGCATAATGTTTAATCTTCAGCTTGCTTGTATTAAAAGTAATTTTGCAGTAAAGTTTTCATGCTCAGTAAAAATGTTTTACATTTAATGTGGTTAATAATATATTGTGTGATTTTGATATTGTTTACTTGATTTTATAAATATCACAAAAACTTTGCTTCAGCAGATGATTATTATTTAAAACATGATAAAGTAGCTAAATCTAATGACATATGACATAGATCATGATTGAAAATAAAATTATTATTTTTAATAATATAATAATTATTTATTTATTTATGACCTACAACTAAATGGCATTTAAACATTATTAGTTTGGCTGAAGGTGACTGAAAGATTGATATTTGCTGATTATTAATATAATGCATATTTTATTTACATTTGTTCCCATATTTGTTTCACATTTTGGACAACATGTTCCTCAGCAAGGGATTTTTGCATCATAAAATAACCTTGTATTTGTGCAGGACTGACTGGTTTATTTAATGCTAAAACATTATTGGCAAATAGTTTTGCGTTTTGTTCACATTTATCGCTGCCTTTGTAAAATCTCAAGAACATGTTTTCTAATTGATTCTGAGAACAATAACCTACATATTCCTTCATGTCTACTCTTCCTGGTCTAATCAATGCCGGATCCAAACTAAAAGAATCAAAGTGTTTTATAATGGCAATAAAGGTATTATTGAAATATTAGAAAATTTAAAATATAATTTTAGTTGCAAAATAGAGCAAATTTTCTAAGAGGGTATTACCGATCAATATAGTTTGTAGTCATAAACACTATTCTGGCTTCTGTAGAAGCAACACCATCCAAACAATTCAATAAACCACTAAAAGTAACTCTATTTAGACCTTCATAAGCTGATTTTTGTTGCATGGTATCTTCTCTGGACAAAAACGCAGCATCGATATCTTCCAAAAGGATTATAGACTGCACAGGTGCAACACTTCACATGGAATAAATTTAATACTCATTTATATTGTCACATTTTTAGATTCCTCTAAGATTAACATTTGAAAACAATATACTATTTAATTTGATATTATAATAAAATTGTAAAAGCGTTTAGAACACAGATTATATTGAATCTAACTAATTATTAATTTTTTGTTGTTCACATTTCATTTTTAACTTATTGAAGTTTATGTTTTCGCGAGAAATCCGATTTGCTAATTCTATGTTTACTCAATGCTTCAAGCATTCTGAGACAATTGAGACTAAATTTGGAAAAAGTATGTGAGTGTGTGTGTGCATGTGAGCCGATTTTTGACCTTTCAGTGAGGTTTTCTCCAAAACGGCTAAACCGATTTATAAAATTGAAAAGCCATTCTATGAAACTTGATAAGCACTCGCGTTGATTAGTTTTTTGATACGATCGGCTGAGTTTTTTAAGAATTATCAGGCAAGCGCAAAATTTTTCATTCTCGTTTTAGTTAAAAATCCTGATTAGCTTTTCAACATTCAAAATTTAGTATTTGACCAATATCGGTCAGGCCGTTTTTTCGAAGTTGATTGTTAATTTTTTCTTTGATGATTTGAATAAAACTTTGTGTGGAGGTAGAGTACCTAGTCTTAATGAAAATCCTAAAATATTATAGACATACGAAAAGTGATTATTGATTAAGTCTATCATTTTAACATATAAAGAAGTTCATGCAACTTGCCTAAATAACTACTAGTTATAATTTATGTTGGAGATGCTATGTAATTAACATCAAGTAATATAATTATGTGCATTTGAATTTTATAATTAATTCACAAAACAATTATCCATGTGATGATTAATAAATACCTTAATAAATGATTTAGCCTATCATCCGTTAAACCACGTTCTGATAAATTTAAAACACAAATTGCAAATTCTAGCTCACCAGCTAAAGCATTGATATAGCTTGATTTACCACAACCAGGAGGACCATGCAAGAGGTAACCTAATAAAAATAATAAACAATCTATGTAGTAATCTGACAGAAAGTATATATATATATATGTATATATAATTTACCTCTTCGATAAGGAATTCCCCTTTCGGTGTACCAGGAAGGATTATTTATGAAATCTTTACAGTCATTTAATATTTTTTCACTAATACCAGCATCTAAAACAACAGATCCCAACGGTCTTCGCTTCTCTTGGCTGTCCAAATTGGCGCCATTCACTTCCCATTGCAGTATACATAATTGTTTTTCCTTCTTGCTCTTTAAGTGCTAATTCTCGAGCTGCCAAATTATTCGTTTTGATCAATACATTTTTTGTTTGTTAAACTTCTTTATTAGCAACTTTATATAAATTAAATAAAATTTAAAAAATCTATCGTTGCAATAATGATTATCCGACCATAGAAATATTTTGGCTGTTTTATAATATTAAATGATTAGTTTAGTAGTAGTCATTTCAATTATATATTAATATTAACTCTGTGAAAACAATTTTACCACACAAATGAATCGAAAATTATTTTAACGTTTGAAGTGTTATCTATACATTCATAGCGACTGTATGTAAATGTTGAGTTCAGTTATATCTTTTGAGTTTTGTTTATTGTACATTTATAAAATATTATGTACTTTTATAATCTAAAGAAAGAGACCATGTCTCTTGAATTAAAGGATGAAATTATTGATAAATATGAGGATGACAAGGATCTACAAGCAAAACACATCAAAGATATGTACTGCGTTTAAACAGAAGAAGTTTACAAAGGATATAAGTCCAGCTAAAAGTATCATAATAATTTATAAGCAATATATTTATTCAAAGTATAATTGTATATATCTTGTGTTTAATTAAAAATGTTATACAAAGAAAAGATCTATATGGAGTCGTTGCAAATGAGAGACTCTTGCTAGTCGTGGCAAATGAGAGGCGGTTTACACGGGTGTTAACATGTGTTATGTGAGCGCGAGCCGTGTACTTGCTCAGGTTTTTTCTACTTTTGAATGTGTTCTACCACATGAAATAAAACAAAATTTTGGACAGTAAAACAAAATTGAATAGCTATAATTAATTTCAATTAATTATAGCTATTCAATGAATAATTATTAAAGAATATTATATATTATATATTAAATTAATAATCATATATTAAAGAATAATTATTTTCAATTTTTCATGCACGAAAAAATAATTATTAAGCAATATTTGTTATTAATAATATAGTATACACCAATGTGAATAGAATCCTGTTATTTGTTTGTCGATATCTTTTACAGATGCGACAAAAAATGACTTTGAAAAAAGGGGCCACTTTAACATATTTTCAATGATATCTTGGCCAAATGAGGCCGACGCTCCTCTCACAAATTTGAAATTTGGTATAACGGATTTTCTCGAAAATACCTATAAAATGGCACCAAAATCATTTAAATACCAAGGTGGGGTCAATTCTTTATGGAAACACGCCCATATCCTTTATTTTTAATATTCAAAAAACTTAAGAAAAACTACAGTTTTCGAGCAAATTAATAGCAATGTATTTATATGGAAAAAATTGCTTCAGGATACGAGCATGGTTAGGAACGTTATATAGGCATCATATGAATAAATTTCAATTGTAAAAAGAAACTCATTAATGATGAAAAAAAATTTTACCTTCTTCCAATATATTAAAATATAAATTTCTGTCACGTCCAAAAGCTGTTAATGTTACTGTCTCCCAAGGAATTCCCATATGCAAATCTAGTGTATGTGATTCTCTTGTTCGTTCAACCCATATCCATGTGCCACCATATCTGCATATTTTAATAAATACATTATTTGAAAATTTATGATAACATTCCTTAAAATAAGCTTAAAATTAATATGTGATTGCTAAACATATTGAATTGAATATATCTTATTTGCAATAATAAAACGAAATATTTCATAATAAATAATAAAATGATAAAAAATAAAATTTGAATAGAACTTTTATCAGAATATTTTGTATCTTGCAATAGTATTATATGATGATTATAAAAATCTAATTTCGGTGTAGAAACAGTAACGTTTCTGAATTTTATTAAGAGTTTATTTTGAAGAAAAACAAATTCCAGGCTGAAACGCCTACCAAAAACTATTTTGATCGATCAATTCATGTTTTACACCCACAAAATTACCTAAAAAAATGGGTACCTATGCTTGGTATAAAATCATATTTAGTCTTAACATGTCCAGTATCTTTCTTTTCGAAAGAAGTCTCAACACTCAAATGTTGGGTTTGACGAGCACCTTTCAAAGTGATCCATTGCAAGAGCCACTGATACGATTTGTCTCTGCAAGGAACTTCCATTGTTATCATACAATGCCTGCGAAACAATATTGATGAACCTTGTAAACCTTTTCTTAAAATTGCGGCCCCGGCCCCCAATCCAAAAAGCCCAAAACCAGCCCCGAAGTAGGGATTATCAGCTAGAGCTGATATATATTCGGATATTGTCATTTTTAAATATTTATTTTAATGTGTTAAGATAATTGACACGATTGCCAAATTTATTTTAATAATCTGTTTGCATGATAAAATGTCATATTATATGATATTTGAAAAACACGAATAATGAACATCTCACATCACGTTTAGTTGAGGTTAACGTAACGTTATTTTGAGGTTAAAATCGAATTGACATTTACTTATAGGCTAGAATAGGGTGTGATCACACTGTAGTAAAGCTTATGACACAACAAAGCTTACCGACATAGACAAAAGCATAGATAAAAGAAGAGTGCTTACCGTCATAGATACAAGAAGAGTAGCTTACCGGTATGTTTATTAACTTCCCGTTATTAATCTAATCCTCCAAAAATCGAATTTGAAAATTTTTGCATTTCTTCATGTTTTGAATATTTTGGCATACCTTAGAAAAAATGGATGTGTTTGTGTGTGTGTGTGTGTATGTTTGGATACAATTTTTCATCCACGATTTTGGGCGCACGGATCAACCGATTTTAATTACTTAAGAACATTCGATTCCTATTGATAGAAAGATGTGCTGATTAGTTTTTGGCGAAGACAGATTCAGCCGTTTCGAAGATACGGGGCAAAAAGTGCCAAAAACGGTAATTCAGTTTTTGAGAGAACGGAGCGCCCTATTTGAATGATTCAAAAAACATTTTATTTGAATTGACAAAATGAAGAAGTGATAAAATTTTTGAAAAGGCAGATCTAACGGTTTCGAATATACAATATAGAAAGTAAGAACATAACATTTGGCGTTTAAAAATCACATACTTTTTTCAAATTTGGTCTTATTCAATCCAGAATGACTAGAAACGTCGAGAAAACATAATATTAACAAATCGAATTTTGTCGCGAAAACATAATAAAGAGATGTTTATTATAAGTTGTTAATTAGATCAATAGAATTTTCATTAAAATAGCTTATAAATATATAAAATTGTGATTTTTTTTTTAATAAAATATTGCACATTTATTATTACATTTGGTAATACTTGTATATAACTAATTGTAACTCTCGATATACATTGCGCGTACACTCATATATGCTTTCATTGCTTTATTAATTTCCCGTAGGGCAAGTTATAGTAATCGCAAAAAAATCGAAAATGAAAATTTTTGCATTTCTCGACGTTTCAAAGATTTCTGAATATTTTGGCATACCTTAGAAAAAATTGATGTATGTGTGTGTGTGTGTGTGTATGTGCGTGTGGGTATGTATGTGCGGATACAAATTTTCGTCGACGATTTCGGGAACACCGATCAACCGATTTGAATAATTCAAAAAACATTCGATTCGTATTGATAAGGAGACGTGCTGATTAGTTCTTGGCGAAGTCAGGTCTAGCCGTTCCGAAGATACGGGGCAAAAAGCGCCGAAAACGGTAACTCAGTTTTTAAGAGACGGAGCGTCCGATTTTAATAATTCAAAAAACATTTTACTTGTATTGACAAGGTGAAAAACCGATCAAATTTTCATAAAGGCAGGTCTAGCGGTTTCGGAGATCTAATGAAAAAAGTAAAAAAAAAATGCCATTTGGCAGTCAAAAATGATCATTAGTCATATGCACATCATATTATCAGATATTTTATAGAGACTTTAACAATAAGTATAATTTTGGTTTACATTCCTATGGGTTCCGTACCAATGTTTACGCGTTAGACGTCGACGCGGCGCTTACGCGGTTTGATATTTCGTCTTTATGCAGTTAAAGCAGTACGATTGCTTTGAAAAAAAGTTTAGATCTTTCAAAATATGTCAAAATAAAAAAAAATTTTTTCAAAAAAAAGTAATTTTTTGTCTAATTGTTTGTCAAAAATCTTATTTTTTCGAAGTAAATTTTTTTCAAAAATGTTAATCGTTTTTAAAAAAATAATAATTTTTGGTACGGGAAGTTCCAGCAATTTGCCTTAAGGCACGATGCCTTAATTGCCTTAAGACAGAATTCCACTTACAGCTAGTTTGTAGAACAAAACAATTTGATGTGTTTGACAAAGCAGGTTTTACAGAAAATCCAAGCAATTAGCCAATTGGTTAATTTTCGGAGACGATGGTTCATGGACAAAGGGCTGGTGGCTGGAAGCGCGTGGAGTAAAATTACACTACTTGTAGGGAAGCACCCATTAATTTGATTGGGTTTTGTGGTGAGAATATTATTTACTAAGAGTTTAAGTAATCATTTTCTCTAATTTCATGTAAATTATATGTTTAATGATTTAGAATACCTATGCATCAGCTCTCAAAATGTGCAGCTTATTCAGGATACACATATTCAGAGGAATTTGTCAGCGAAGCAAGAATTGAGGGTATGATAGGTAAGTAACAATGATTGTAGTACGACATTATACTTATTTACTTTTCACATGTTGCAAATGAAATGGTTATTGCTTTTATTGTAGCACCGAAGGGTAGAGTAGAGAAGAGAAAGTAACAATAATGATTTTAGGCTTTATAAATATTTTTCAAATTTAATAGTAATTGTTTTCACAGCTGCAATTAAATTTAATTAATGCCTGTTTTTCATGAATATGCAGCTTTTGTTATCAGAATCGACGGACGAGATCATAAAGAACATGTTGCCAATGGTTTAAGAAGAATGTTTGCAGATGATTCAGCCATGAAGTATTCATGGCTGGGTTGCAAGCATAATTTACATATGTACAATGTCGAAGTCATATCTATAGTCAAAGGTAATAAATGCAGTATAACAGTTTATATATTGTGTTTGCATATGCATATTTAAATGTGATTTAAATGTTTAAAGGTGTATTTGTGAGTAAATACTGCTTGCTGGAAAATGTTTTCAACAAGTGAATAACCTGCAATTTGCCAGACAGAGACATGAGAGGGCTTTGAAGAAAGTAATTGTAATAAATGATTGTAAATAATGAATAATATGAACTAAAAAGTGAAAGCCATTTAAAATATCATATGTTACGTTACGTTGCGTTACTTTTTTAGTTTAATATGTTACCATTTTGTTTTTATTTGTAAATAATAAAAAATAAATAAATTTTATATTATCTAAAATACAAAGTTTGTTATTGTTTTTAAAAAATATTTGTTGCTGTTTTGTTTAGCATAAATATTTGTTGCTATTTTTTTATTATAATGTTTGTTATTGTTTTTATAGAAAATTTGTAACTGTTCAGTTTAGTATAAAACATTTATTGCTATTTTGTTTATTGTGAAATATTCATTTTAAATAACAAATACAAAAAATATGAGTAAATCACAATTTTAGAGAAAATTGACTTATTTATGTATAAATACATCGCCCTAAAAAGTTAAGTTACCGCAACTTAAAAATGTTATATAACACGTTGCTTAATAGAGTAGGAAATAGTCATCCAGGTAATCCAATTTGTAAGGGATGGTAAGGTTGCCATTATATAACTAGTTAACATTTTTATATAATCATAACCTGATGACAACATGAAATTGTTTACTTTATATATTAGAATATATAATATATATATATATATATATATATATATATATATATATATATTATATATTAACTAGAAACAGCAGTCTAATTATTTAAATGAACAAATAAATAAATTATATTAGATTAAATTAATAAATAAATTTTTAATATTGATCATTTATTTTTTTCCTTCGACCATAATAATGTGATAACCAAACTTAGTTTTAATTGGAGGATCAGTATATATTGGATTATTTACAGTTGAAATAGGCAATGCAAATGCAGCATCTTGAAATGGCCCTACCATTGAGCCACGAGTCATCCAGCCTAGATCACCTCCTTGTCGAGCTTTATCTTCACTATAAGCCATGGCAACATCTGGAAATCGTTGGCCACTCTTAATTTTCTCAAGTGCTTCTAAGCACTTGCCTTGCTTTTCACATAGAATATGACGAACTTTCACTGCTGTGCCACCTTTTTTTTCTTTAGATGCTCCAGCTAATAAAGAAAACTAAATTTAATAACTGGCATATAAAGCAATCATTTAGAAATTTTGGTGAGTTAATATCGAATAAGTCAAGTTTGCTTCGAATGAATTACAATTTACTTAAAAATATAAATATATTTGTTCTTATTTAGTCTTCTACATTTTATCAAGAGGCACAAAACTTTTTGGAATATATTTAATGAAAACAAAATAACATACTAAACTGAATGTTCAATAACTAAACTGAATGTTCTGTTAAAACAACTAGATATAATACAGTCCAAAATAAATTGATATGGGCAAATGTCATATGAAGTGCTAGCAAAATATATAACGAATTGCCAAACGATATTAAGATGACCAATGATGACGATAAATTCAAAAGTAAAATAAAGAAATATTATAAGGAAATTGAAGACAAAGAAGATTGAAGAGTTATATATAAAGATATTTTAATTATATATAGATATTATATTAATGAAATAGTTAAATGAAATGTATATATTATATGAAAACTGTTTTTCATAATCTCTCATACCAGGCACCTCTGCCTGACTGAGATATGAAAATAATGTATATATATAAATAAATAAATAAATTAATATATATATATATATATATATGTATATATATATATATATATAATATATATATATATATATATATATATATATATATATATATATATAAATTGCATTTAAAACATAACCTAAAAAAATAAATTCTTGTAATATTTAAATAATTACCTTTTTCAGAATCTTCACTTTTTCCTTTAGCTGGGGCTTTAGATTGACCCTTTTTAGGAGGCATTTTACAAAATAATTACAAAGTGAATATAAAAATAAATTCAAATGTCAAAACTTTTACCAGACCTCCATGCATTTGCATGTGCGAAACATTGTAAACATTAATAACATAACCTAAAATTTTTTTGACAAAACCGTAATTATGAAATATTAATCGGTTTTACTTTTAGTTCGTGTTTTTGTAGTGTTCAGTGAACATCGTGGAATATCGCGTATTTTTATTTTACTGCTGATCAAATCTGGTAATTGAATTATTTGTCAATAATCATTCATAATAAGCCGTAATTAGCCGGTATTATAAATATATATGTTTTTTTGCATGTTATTTGATTATAGATTCATGAATTAATATGATTTTCAATCGGCTGAAAATTATGGCTTTGCAAATTTAAAACTCCTAGTACTTTTTATCGTAAAACCAATATGGTAGCTACTTTTCTCCCATAGCGTGAATGAATTAATTTTAATATATTATCTTTTTATATAATGATAAAAATAGAAGTTTAATTATGTTAATTTTATGGAACTTTTTGAGCGTAGTTTCAATTCATATGACAATTTATATGACTATTTATTATTACCACTGTCTGATTTTGACAGAGAAATGGAGTCTCTTCTTCTGTAACGGTCTTTTCGTTCTTAACTTATGTGTGGACTTAACAACCGACTTTTTGAACAATATTAGTCGAAGCTATGATAAAGAATATTGTTTTAATAATTCTTATTTGGGTGCATTATCTATAAACACTCTAATGTTCATAAAACTACATATTTCATCATTTGCTTTATGAATTAAGCTAATTATAATTAAGCCTAAGGGTATTTTTCCTAACGCCATCAAGTAGCATGAACTTTGTGATAATAAGAATTTTGACATTTATCAAAGATAAAATGTTGAATTGTTTAAACTTCGTAATTAAAGTTTTTGCCTATGGTTTTTTATTTCGCTTGTGCTGAAAATGTATTTTATTTATATATGGACACTAACGGTGATCAGTGTTAAACTCGAAATATAATATATTTTAGCATATTCCAAGTTCGCAACCAGTTTGTTTCGAACTTTACTAGTTGAAAGTGGCATTTAGCCTTCAGGCAAGTTGCATGAACTTCCCGAAATGTGTAAGAATTGACTTAATAATTGAAAAAAAATCAACTATTTTTTTTTTCAAAAATAAAGTTATCGGTTTCAATTAAATCTAAACATTTCTATTCCGAATACAATTTTCGCAAAAATATTTAATTTAACTGTAAACTTAAATTTAAATGAACTGATAACGTTTGACTCATCACATCACAAAAGCAACTTTTGACTCAAATTTTGACTATAATATTTTCTCAAACTTTGATGATTTTTTAACATTAAACCATTTTTCCTACTGCCGTAATATTTTAGTATGTGTTTTAGAAGCTCATGATTTCTATTGCCAAAAAAGGTTCATAAAAATCGTCAAAAATTTTTTTTCAACGGTTAATTTCAAGAAAACTGCTCGGTAGATTTTTGCCTAATAAGTATCTAATAAAAACTAATAAGTATCATTCCCAATCAATATCTTTCGAACAGTATGTGATTTTTTAAAATCGATTCAGAAACATTCTAAAACTTGAACGAAAAAAATGTTCACTTATTTTGCAAAATTGATAAATGCTAGTTGTTAAAGAATCTTTTATTATTATTAGTATCAAGAATTCATTTTTAAATATATTTTTAAATATTGAAATTAACTTTAAATGAGCACAGGATGCAGATGCAAATAACATAATTTTTCCATATATTTTCCATAGCTTAAGTAAATACGTCGCATCTCTTCTTATGTTTTTGTTATTAATGCGTCAAATTATATAATTGACGTGTATAACTGTAAACTGCCATCCCCAGGTAGTATTATAATTTTTATATTATATTTTTAACTTTATAATATTCAGTATTCATTTTACTAGGCAGATGTTAAGTCTAGCGCGTAATAGTTACTCAATTATTTTAATAAACTTTTCATATTTCTATGTCTATTCCCCTATTTTCATCTTATTATAATTAATGAAAAGGCAGCATTAAGGTGTGTTTCGACGCCTTAACACTAGTCCTCATCGAGATACATCAAATGGCTTTTAAATGTTTGAAATCGGTTAAGTCGTTTTTGAGAAGACGTCGATTTACGTCGAAAAATCTGTTTACATACACACACACATACTTTTTCCAAAATTGATCTGATTCGATTTAGAATGGCTTGAAACGTCGAGAAAACCTAAAATTGGCGAATCGGATTTTTTGATGAAAACAAACTTCTACTTCGGGAAGTTAATAAATTTTTATAATTAAACCACTTTTCGTAGGTCTATAATCTTTGAGAGTGATTGTTTAGATTAGTTAGACCAAGTTATCGTCATAGTAATCGCAAAAAAATCGAAAATGATTTTTTTTGCATAAATTTAGGTTTCGAAGCTAACGTTTCAGAATATTTTGTGTGTGTGTGTGAATGTGAATTGATATATTTTTTCGTCCACGATTTCGAGAGCACATATCAACCCATTTGAATGATTTAAAAACCATTTGGTTTGTATTGACTAGGAGAGTGCTGAGTAGTTTTGGGCAGAGGCAGATCCAGCCTTTTCGTAGATACGGAGCAAAAATAGCAAAAGACAACTATTTTCGCAAAAACAGAGCATCCGATTCGAGTGATCCAAAACACATATGGCATATGTTGACGATGTGAAGAAATATTGAAATAATTAAAAAAATTTTTTTAATTTTCCAGAATTTTCAAAAAATTTAATGTTTATAAAAAATCTCAAAAACACTTCAAGTGAAAAAGACAACTATTTTTGAAAGATCAGAGCACTCGATTAGAATGATCCAAAACACATGTGGCGTGTGCTGACAGAAATGTTGAATTTTTGTTTTAAAAATAATCAATATTTTTAAAAAATCTCAAAAAGTTCAAAATTAAAAAAAAATATTTTTTTAAAAATAATATCGGATTTTATAGAAGTTTTTCAAAAATTTTAAAATTTCAGAAATTCTATAGTTCTTCTTTTACGCAAAGTATGAGACAAACCTTAGAACAGGAGTATTCATTTTAACTCGAGTGAATTATTATATTATACTAGATGACCCGACAGACGTTGTCCTGTACCCATGTCCACAATTTTTTAATATGATATACTAATATTTACCGTTTACCTACAAATAATAATTGTTTTTAACGGTATAATATAACCATAACCATAATATAATACTGGTACTTCATGTTGGATTATTTTAATTTAATTTTTTATTATTTAAGACATCCAATATTGCATCTTAAACTTCTCCTAATCGATATTGTGAGGGCCGAATTGTATGTATTCACCTTCACTTTTCCATTTGTTGTTATAAAGTGAATTTTTTACGAATTTTAAAATTATTGTGGAAAGATTAGTAACAGATGCTAAGAAATTATATATTGAAAAAAAAACCTATATTGAAAATTTAATATCTGAATCTTGTGTTGGCGCCCTGTGTTGGCTCGTATTTTTCGCATGCATCGCATTAAAGGTAGGACTCCTCTGATTAATACTTAATTTCATATTTTAAGTGAATTAATTTGTCATATCCTGTTCATATGTGTATCATTCAATCTGCCATACATATACTGTATCTTATATTAATTTAATTTCAGGCACATCTCAGCTGCTTTTTGGCAAGAATAATGTAGACATTTCATTTTTCTTATTCATAATCATAAATTTATTATACAGATTCTAACATTGTTTAGGTTCATAAGTAAATTAAATTTTTTGGCAGATATGGTTTTCATTTATTTTCAATTGCATGACATGTCGTTTTTTGCAATTTTTTTCCATTTCTTTCTACAATATTGCACATACATCCCAGTACTCTATAATCACATACATCCTAGAAAATTTCCTTAACAAATTTCAGAAAGATAATATAATAATAGTTTAGGAGTGCTTGTAATTTAATATGAACTTTAAGTAATAGCAATAAAGCTCAAATTGATTCTACTTTTTAGATAGAAAACGTTTGTAATTGTATGTGAAAAAGAAAAGGGCTGTTTTTAGGGTTTTCCCGGCAATTATTCGATTTTTTCTCCCCGTAAGAACCATCCTTGGACTTCAACGAGCATTTTAAAAAAATAATTGGCCAAATTGGTCCAGGCGTTGTTGAGTTATGCGCTTACCAACACATTTTGCGATTCATTTTTAAATATATGATTTGAAGATAGTCACACAAACATAAGATTTCAAGCCGATAAAATAAGAATGATGAAATATATTGTGCATAACAGCACTTAATTTATACTTGTTTATCTATGGTACATACATATTTAAAATTATCTATTTCATAATATTTAAAATATTCGTCATTGATCATTTATCAATTTTTAATTGAATATAATTTTTATTGTCAAATGTGTAATTACTATTCGGGAAACTCTAGCAATTTTCTTTAAGCAACAATGCCGTTTATCACCAACAATTAATTATGAAAAAACGCTCTGGCCGATCTTTATAAAAAAACAGGAATCGCAACCAGTGGCGTCGGAAGCAAATTTTTGATGGGTGGGCTTGTTTTTTTTTAGAAATACATACCAGGGCATATCATTTTTTGATATTGATGGGTGGGCTCAGCCAATATCTTTGGAACAATGGTTGAAACTTGAAGGAAAAAGTGTACACTTAGCCGATAATTGTGAAGACACGGCTAGATGGATAGTCGCGAAAAACTAATTAACACAACTCGTCGAGTTTTAAAATATCGGCTCCATACTGTTTACTATTTTGATGACTAGATAAGTTGAAAAAATAAAAATAATAAATTAGCGAGAAAGATTTTCTGGCGGAAACAAACTTTTCCTGCGGAAAGTTAATTAAAACAATTTAGTTTTTGAAGTATAAATAAAATGTTTTTAATGATTGCATTTAATTTTAAAACATGAATTATTTGCAACAGCAATTTTTATCGTTCTCGATACTTTCATCACAATTGAAAGGAGCGATTTCTTGGAATTGAACTTTCTTCTGCTTCGGTAAGTACTTCATATCCATTAATGTGGGCGGTTTATCGGTTCTATCGGCATCGCAAGGGTCGGGAGGCGCTATTTTTTCCTGGGGAATTTCAGGGCACACGGGCATCGATGCGAAAGTTTCAGGGGCTTCAGGACATATGTAATACTCAGGCTGCGTAGGAATTTCTTTTGCTTCTGATTTCTTCATGTCTCGATATCTATCCGGGTCCACATTGTATCTGAAACATTTTATGAAAATCTTATTCAATTTATCAGTTTGTCTTTAATATATTTACACCACAAATTAAAATAGGCTACAATAATCTTATTTATTTAATAAATGAGTTTGGCTAAGTCTTAGTTTTCCTCAAGTTACATTCAGAAATATCATGTGTATAGCGGACCCAGGGTCTTATTGTAGCATGGGTAAGAAGTAAAAGGCGTTTTTCAATAGAATCTTCTAAAGCGATGTAATTAACTTCACGTAGGGCAAGTTATAGTAATCGCAAAAAAATCGAAAATGAAAATTTGTATATATCTTTACGTTTCAAAGGTTTCTGAATATTTTGGCATACCTTAGAAAAAATGGATGTATGTGTGTGTGTATAAAAATTTTCGTCGACGATTTCGGGAACACCGATAAACCGATTTGAATAATTCAAAAAACATTCGATTCGTATTGATAAGGAGACGTGCTGATTTTTGGCGAAGGCAGATCTAGCCGTTCCGAAGATACGGGACAAAAAGTGCCAAAAATAGTAACTCAGTTTTTAAGAGAACGGAGCGGCCGATTTTAATAATTCAAAAAACATTTTACTTGTATTGATAAGACTAAGAATTGGTCAAATTTTCATGGCGGCAGGTCTAGCGGTTTCGGAGATCTAATGAAAAAAGTAAAAAAAATGCCATTTGGCTGTCAAAAATGATCATTAGACATATGCACATACAATTATCAGATATTTTATAGAGATTTTAACAATAAGTATAAATTTTGTTTACATTCCTATGGGTTCCGTACCAATGTTTATCCGTTATACGGCGACGCAGCGCTTACGCTCTTTGACATTCCGTCTCTATGCATTTGAAGCAGTACGATTGCTTTGAAAAAAAGTTCAGAATTTCCAAAATATGTCAAAATAAAGAAAACATTTTTTTTTTTGAAAAACGCACACAGTTATCCTCTATCTGGGTGATGAATTATTATTACAATTTCTGTAATATTCAATATTTATTGATGCAGTAATGCCGGATTAGGGCTATTTTTACTTGAAAACATATTGCTATTTATATTTCTACTTGAAAAACCGTTGTCACTACTGCTTGACCCCATGCTGCTCGAAGCAGAATCGAACCCGGGACTTTGATTCAGGTCCAGTCGTTCTATCTAGCCACTTACCTACGAGCGAGCCCATATAATAATATTATTCAAACCCATGAAAAAAGTTACTGTAGTGATTATTTGCCAGGCTTATGCTTTATGGAACTGTTTTTAACATAACAAATTAAGTATTTTTTACTATCATGGCAGTGATTGGTTGCCCTATTATTGTTAGATTGCATACCAACAATTACCAAAAGTATCAAATTAATCGAGGGATATACTATTACTGTGTGTATTTTAAAAATTCACTCACGGGCATGTTTGCTTCACATGTATTCCATGACGCTCAGGTTCCTCTTCACATTCGGGTTTGTCTCCTTCAATATCTGTATGTGTTCGAGCTTGCATTTCTGCAAGCAGCTTTTCATCTTTATCTAAGGAAAAAGAATTATTAACAAACTTGACCAAAGATAAAGAGTACTGATATATTATAAAAAATGTTTTTTTTTGTGCGAAAACCTAGAGTAGGTAAAATTAATAATTGCATTGTTTACTCTATGTGATATGTACGTTAGAATGAATATGATAATTTTTAATTTCCCGTAGGATAAGTTATAGTAATCGCAAAAAATCGAAAATGAAAATTTTTATATATCTTTACGTTTTAGAGGTTTCTGAATATTTTGGCATACCTTAGAAAAATAGATGTATGTGTGTGTATGTATGTGTGTGTGTGCGTGTATGTATGTTAGTGCGGATACAAATTTTCGTCGACGATTTCGGGAACACGGATGAAGCAATTTGAATAATTCAAAAAACATTCGATTTGTTTTGATAAGGAGACGTGCTGATTAGTTTTTGGCGGAGGCAGGTTTAGTAGTATCGAAGATATGGGGCAAAAAATGCCAAAAACGGTACCACAGCTTTTAAGAGAACGGAGCGTCCGATTTTAATAATTCAAAAAACATTTTACTGGTATTGACAAGATGAAGAATTGATTGAATTTTTTTAAGGGCAGGACTAGCGGTTTCGGAGATCTAACGAAAAAAGTAAAAAAAACGCCATTTGGCGCTCAAAAATGATCATTAGACATATGCACATCAAATTATCAGATATTTTATAGAGATTTTAACAATAAGTATAAATTTTGTTTTTATTCCTATGGGTTCCGTACCAAAGTTTATCCGTTAGATTTAATGCTTATCCGTTAAATTTGAAAAAAAAATTTTTAAGAATTTTTTTTTCAAAAAAAAGTATTTTTTTGTCCAATTTATAGTTCTCAAAAATCTCATTTTTTCGAAGTAAAATTTTTTCAAAAATGTTAATCGTTTTTAAAAAAATAATAATTTTTGGTACGGGAAGTTCCAGCAATTTGCCTTAAGGCACGATGGCTTAATTGCCTTAAGACAGAATTCCACTTACAGCTACTTTTACATCAATTTCATACAAATTTTGTATTTCTCAAAAAAAGGAAAGTACGACGTATAAATATATGCATACATGGTCTGTTCAAAAAGTACCCGGAATTACTAATAATTAAATTTCGCGGGTCTGGAGTGTCTGATTGTCAAAATTTTTTTTTTATTGTGTTGGTATACATGCCCCTAAAGTATGATGAAATTTTCAGCTATATTCACTGTTTACTTTGTCTGTGGTAGTCGCTAAGGTTCGACGTGTTTTTCTGAGCTCGGCGATTTTTACAATGGAAGAATTGAAAAAGTCAAAGAATTTGTATTAAATTTTGCGTAAAAAATGAAATAGTGTTGCAAAGTGCAAAAATTCACCAGATATGGCTCCGTGTGACTTTTTCCTATTCCCAAAGTTGAAGAGACCCATGAAAGGACGGCGGTTTTCCTCGATTGAAGAAAATCGCCGAGAGTGCTCAAGGACATATCAAAAAGTGAATATCAAGGGTGCTTCGAAAATTGGAAAAAACGCTGGCATAAGTGTATTATATCTGGGGGGGACTACTTTGAAGGGGACCACATTAATGTAGACGAATAAATAAATATTTTTTTGAAAAAACGAAAATGACGAAAACTTTTTGAACAGACCTCGTACATTTCTTCAGCGGTAAAGGCATAAAAATCCACTCTCATTTTTTTTGCGATTTCATTAACTTACATTCAGAATATTGATTTTTTAGAATGACAATATTTGTTTCATTCCTGCAGTCTTAGATGTCAATAAAAATACATATGACTATATTGAATATAATATAAGATTGTTCGGAAAGTCACTTTGTTTTTTTACCACCAGAATTTAACTATATTTTTTTTGAACCTAACATCACATGTTTTCTAAGCCCATTTTAAGGCTTGTGTGTAAAAAATTCTAATCAATTACATGCAGTAGTTTTTGGATGGTGCCACTTTGAATACGGAAAGCATTTTCGAAATATTTTACTCTGTTGCTATAGAATAGGTAAAAATACTGTTTAAGTCAAAGTAAAATTGACCGATGTGTACGGAAATGACATATTTATAGTACGACAGTGCCAAAATTGGTTTGGTAAATTTCATTCTTGGTATTTTGATGTCCAAGATGCACCAAGTCCAAGACGTACGGTTGAAGCTGTTAAAGACGTGAGAAAGGCATTAGTTGATGCAAACCAACGAATAAGAATACATGAGACCCCACTGAGTAAAAATTTATTAAATATAACAGTTCATGACTACTCAAAATGTCTGGGATTTTTCTCGAAACTTAATGTATGGTTCTCATAGAAAGAAATCTGTGTCGTCGCACTGGCCGTCCGCGATTCGCCTCTGAAAAGTTTTGAAAATTATCAGGGTTTGAAGCAAATTGTCACAAGGAATGTCAAATGGAATGTAAAGAATACAATACATGCAAATGCCGATGAAACAAAAAAGAAGAACCTACTCAAAACAGGCGCAAAGCTGAAATTTGCTAGAAAAAGAAGGTCATTCAGTATGACTGGTAAGATTTTAAAGGAGTTGCTCGAATGCTTTATGTCATCAGGTGGATAAACTAAATGATATATGATATATACTTCAATACAAAAGGTCAGAATTAACCCACAAGCAAAGTATAGTCCTGCAACAAGACGATACAAGACCTCACATAAGTTTGGTCAATTGCCAGAAGCTTTTGAAGCTTGAATGGGACCCAATGATACATTCATCATATTCTTCAGACCTGCCATCATCGTACCATTATTTACTCCGGCCGCTAAAAAAAATTTTAGGCGGTAAAACCTTTACCTCAAATCAGCCTGTCAAAAAGCACTTTGACAGTCTTTTCACAATAATCCAAAATATTTATGATTTCGGAATTATGCTAATACCAGAAATATGACAAAAGATGTGATATATACGTAAAACTAGACTTTAAGAGATAGTGTAGATATTATGTTATTTAGTATGTGGCTAATGTACTAGCTTATAAAGCCAATAAATCATATATAAAAAAAAAAGATGTTCGATCAAAACTGCCGATACATAATTTATTAAAGTACGAAAATTACGTGTCCAAAAGTCTATAAAAACGAAGTTACTTTCCGAACAACCCAATAATATATAATAAGATCAATTGATCTTGTTAATCTTATAAATAATCCAAACTAAACTAAATTGAAACTTACAGTTTTTAAATTTAAATCAACTACATCACAACAAATAACACATATCAAACAAATAACTTTCTAAACTTGCAATATTTTACTTGCAATATTTCTAATATTTGTTATTTGGTTCTTTAAACAACCAGGGGTAAGAAGGTACACGGAATAATAGCTACATTATTCAATGAATGCAGTTTAATTATCACGTTGAACATTAAAATTAAAAATTATAGTGTAAATATATATTATTAAAAATAGTAAACAAGAATCTTTACTGCTATCATAAATTTGTTTGATGAAAAATTAGACAACGTAGTCGTTTATCTCCTGAATGCGATGTCGGCACATTTAAGACAATGCCTGGTTACATAGCATTTTTTATTTACTTGAAAATAGCACCCAAAAAATAACATAATTTACTTGAGATAATGACGGTGATATTTTGTAGACGCGGACCTTTAAGCCACCCTCTATCTTATATTTTTTAGGCATCGGAATTTTTAGTGAATTATGTTAATTTATCATAAAATTTTATTATATTGATTCTTACCTAGGTTCCTAATGTATTTGATATAATCATCATATGACAAATCTTTTGGTACAGTAGTTGCAAGACGCCTTTGTTGCTCACTAACTTTCTTTACCATATTCTCTCTAACGCCTACTTCATCATAACATTGGTTAATGAGAGTTGGTGTTGGTGGCACTTCTTGAACTATTATAAGAATGTTTGTAAAATGTTAGCAAATACTCAATGACTCTTCACGTTATACGAAACTCTGATTACCTAATTTTTCAAGGTCCGCAGCGATCTTATTCTCACATTCCGTCTTGATCGTGTCCTGAGAATAATATTTAAAATCTTAGCTTGAAACTTATGAATATCTTTTAAAATATTAATTAAACTTTTTACTTTCAAATCATTTTTAAGATTTCCTTTCAATGTTTGATAATCCCTCATATTATTGATTTGCTGTTGAGTGAATTTTTCAGGATTTGCGCACATGTATCGATAGACGTATAAATCGGCTCCCGTTATTCGGAATCTATGAGAATATACCTCCACTGTAGATCCTGAAATGTAAATTAGAATAATAAGAATTTTTTGGGGCTGCAATATTCTCATCTGCAAAGTTGATGAGAGTTGACAAAACGGGCAAATACAAAGTTTGAAAATGTTTTGAATAGATTATTTGAAGCAACTTTTTTTGTATCTATTATCAAAATCTTTGGGATTATAAAATTCTGAGTTATCTCGATTATATCCTATCGAATTTATTTTTATAGTTCATTTGAAGCAACTTTTTTCTTACCTATATCAAAATCTTTAGGACTATAAAATTCTGGGTTATCTCGATTAGATCCTGGTTTAGGAACGCACATTGCTCGTAAAAATGTATTTCCACATCCTATTTGCATTCCGGAATTTTTAATGGGAGTTTCTGTTATTTTGATTTTGCTGTCCCGCAAATAATAGTTAATAACGAATTTCCTAATTGAGTCTTCAGGATGTATCCAATCCATCTCGCATTCCCATCTCAATGGGGTCTGAAATAAGTTTTAGAGTATATATATCTCATATATAAAATTCCTCCTCCTAAACAATTATTCGGATTTTGATAAATCTTCTTGAAGTTTGTTAAGGGATTTTTTTAGGATATATTTAATTATAAATATATATTAATATAGTAGAAATAAATGGGAAAAATGGCAAAAACGACATGTCATTGTTTGACATTGATTGTCATTGAAAATAAATGAAAACTGTCATCGGCCAAAAATTTTAATGCATAGCATCGAGCATACCATCAATAAAAAAAAACAAATTTCTTTTAAGAATTTATTTTACATCCATGCGTTTCAGCTATAATCTTAGCCTTCATTCAGTGGAAGCTAAAGTACTAAATGCGGAATAAAAAAAAACTAAAAAATTGAATTAGAAAAAATTATGAAGAGTAAAAAGTACTTACAATTCGTCAACCTTACTGTTGCTGTGTTTATTGCTTTGCTAATGTTAATTTGTTGGTGTTAAAACAGAAAATTCAATAATCCATGGTATTAGGATATTGTAATGCACTACACTATGTAATATAAACAATAATCTTGTAATTAAACAATATTTCGCAAAATACAAACTTTAAAAAAATCACAAATAATAGTGTGCAATATATGTTATTGATTCTATGCCCGATTATTAGACTTTGTTAAAACATATGTCAAATTCACCAATTAATGATTATGTAATGATAATATAATGATTAACTTATTTAATGACTAACTTAATCGAGAGAATTGTTTAAGTGGTTTCTTTAAAACCGTATTTTATTGAATTGTTTGTGAAAGATGCATTATTTTTGTACATAGAAAATTTGATGAAAATTTTTCAAAGGTAAAACGTTACACACCATTTTGTTGTAAAACTTAAATTATTAACATGTAAAATTTGTTGTAATTAGACTTACTTTTGTTGCATGAACCATGTATTTGACCGCATCAATTCGCGGTGCTTTTGGCGTCACTGTATAGCAAGATTGAATTGTATCTTCCGGCACTCCGACCATTATATGAGGCGGAATATACTAAAACAATTCAAATTATTATTTTATTAATATTAATTTATTGCAATAGTAAGTTTACCTTTTCTTGAGGAGGAGGAGGTACGGGCAAAGCTTCTATCTTTGGTTTTTGTTCAATATTTAAAACCTGAAACAGTATTGATTATAGTAATGAAAATTAATTTATTCTAAAATTTAATTTCTTACCTTCTTATAATATTGTCGAGTAAAATTATCACAATCATATAGAAAGAATCTTCGATTATAAATGAAAATGGTTTCTCCAACCTATCATATAAAAAAAACTATGTAATATTGTCTATAAATATTACTATAATTTTGAGAACAAACCTGAAAATCCTTTGGACTATAGTATTCACAAATATCACTATCCTGTAATTCACTATATACAGCCGGAAAATCAGCTGAAATATTGATAAATAAAAGTCTGAATAAATAAACATAGAATAAATTTACCGATTGTGAGCGACGAAGGAGGTCGAAGTGTATACTACAAAACGTAAGTTGGAAGACCAATGTATGCAAAATTTTCAAACAAGGAAAGAAGAATAACTGACATTAACCATTTACCAAAAGTGGACGAATCAGATTTTCAAGAACTTTGAAAATTTTTATTGAATATTGGTTTTGCTCCTTTACCTGGTCTTTGCAAGAAGTTTCGAGGCAATTTAGTTTTCTTGAGCAATCGCGGAACTGGATCTCTGCCACTATTTCGGTCGTAGATTTCCTTTACAGAAACAGTGTCGTCTCGCAGAAAGTACAGTATCTGACATTTTCTTACTTCTCCTAATTCTGTGTCTCGATCGTCCCATACTGCATCAAACCTATAATTCAATAAAGTTTGATGTTGCTTCCAAAATTAAGTTAATTGTACATGGTGTCGATATCTATATCGAAGCTCTGGTAACACTTATTATCCAAGACTATATATGGAAGCGCAATAGCGCCGCAACACCGTTTTAATATTGTGAATCTTAAATACGGAACCCATAGAAATAGAAAAAAATATCTGACAATTTCATATTCATGTGTCCAATGATATGACTGCGAAATGGCGATTACTTTAACTTTTTCTTCTGTATCTTCGAAACCGCTGAACCTGTCTCGCCAAAAGTTTAACCTATTCTTCATTCTTGCAATACAAGTGATATGGTTTTCATTCAAATCGGACGCTCTGTATTTTCAAAATTGCCAATTTTTGCCTCGTATTTTCAAAACGGATGGATTGCCTTCGCTATACAATCTAATCAGCATATCTTCTCGTCAATACGAGTCGAATGTTTTTTAAATCATTCAAATCACTTGATTCATGTATTCAAAAGTGTGGATGAATTTTTGTATCCAAACATACATTCATACATAATTCATACGCCCTTATATACACACACATACACCTACAGGCCACACATACATAATTTTTTTCTGATATATGCTAAAAGGTTCAGATACTTCTGAAATGTAAAGATGTGCAAAAAATTTTTTGCTATTACTTACGCTATGAAAAAAAGCCTATTATAGTATCAAGAGAGTAAATTATTTATTTCACACGTCATTCGATTTGTCGCCAAAAATTTATTGTGCTATCTGTGATCAAGGATAAGAATTAGAATAGTATATACAATATTTGTGTATCTCTTAAGGGGGTATTCTACTGTAGAATTTTGAAAAAATCGAAAATTTTTTTTTCCATATTTTCAAAGTTTAGTTATTCAAAAATATGTCATTAAAAGGATTTTTCAAAATTACTATTATTTCCTGAGTTATAGCCGTTTTAGTGACGTGGTTTCGGTTCGGGTCCGACTTGTCTCAAAACTTTGAACGCGTTTTTCTCAGAACTACTTTTTTCGAGCTGGCGGTAAGGATATCTCGAGTTCTAATGAACCGATTTACTTCACATTTGGAGAGGATCTTCTCTATACATCGCTTTATCGTATGGACCTTGCCCAAAACTATAACTTTTCATTTAGTATTTTTAAAAAATACGGAATTGTTAAAAAAACATGAAAAAAAAATTTTTTTTTTTCAAACTGCTGCCATTCAAACAAAAAATTTTTTTTTAACTTATCCAAGGTTCATACGATAGCGGCATCTATTATAATTAAGAATTCATCTATCTTTTATGTTTCAAATCACCAGGAGGGTTGGAATCATGTACGCCAGGACACCCTCTTTTTTTGGGAACCCCCACTTTGACTGCTCATAACTTTGTGAATTTTAATTATTTTTTTTTAATAATTTTTTTATGTAATAATAAAATATCAATAAACAAATGATAAAAAAATCGATAGCAAAAATATTATTTGTTTCCTTTATACAGCGCTTCAAAAACCGGGCGAAATTCATGCGTCTACAGTAGAATACCCCCTTAAGATTTGTCTTGAAGGCACGTTCATAATTTTTTTTTTGATTTATGTGCGCTTTTAAAAATTGAAAACAATAATTTATTCACTACAAAAGCAATAAAAGTTACAATATTCAATTTACGATTTTTCTGCATATATAGAAGTTAAATATGAATCAACATCATTAGATTTTTTGGTATTTTGTGTTGGTAAAGAGTTACCAACGCTTACCAACTTACTTCCGTCATTTCTAATTTCTAATATTTATCAAAAAGAGCATAACTTATCATAATTTACTATGAAATAAAATAAATAATTCTTTAAATTAAATTGCTAAAAATATTCTAGGCTTGTATTTTTTCGTTCAACTTACTTCAACACTTTGCCGTCAAATTCCAAAAACCTCCTGAGTTTGTCATCACACACTGTGGTCACGTGTGAAAGGCGTCCATATTCTTTCAAAAACCTTTCTTGGGTTAAAGGATCCACCGGTGGTTGCTCTTGTTCTCCTAATTCAATACCCTGACTCAATAAGTATTCCTTTTATGGAAAATAAAAAATATTGTTGTTATCTATGTTATGATTAAATTGATACAACCTCATAATATATTTTTTATTTTGGGAACTTTTTGATTTAATGAGTTTTAACCCCTTGTCCTACAATATCGATGAGACTTGATTAATTTTATTTGCATTGAAAACTTCGATGTCTTCGAGTCGCCAAAAAGAATTACGTTTAAAATTAATCTCTGATTTATTTTTTAAATTCATAAAAATACTATTTATAAAGGATTTAATAAGTAATGGAAAATTAAAATTTATATACTTTTTAACTTGAAAAGAAAAATTAAGGAAATTTTTAATTTTTTTAAAAATTATTTTACAAATTTGATCTTTTTGAGTAATTTATGACATTGTTATTTTTAACAAATGCAAATTGTTTGACCAGGCTTTATTGAATTTGATAAATTATTAAATGATTGCTAATGAAATAAATAGTATGATGGTACAGAATAATGATTTGTTCAGAAAAAATATGGAAGGCATTATAAAAAGTTTTATAATATAGTCGCATTTTTTGAACATCAATCAGAATTTAGCATTCTATATGCTGCTGTGATTAATTTTACTCATTGTCATTAGACCATTAGAATCCAAAAATTAAGTAACAAAAGTCTGAATATTTGAAATGCGTACCAGATGATCATTTTTGATCGCCAAATGGAATTTTTGTACAATTTCGGAAGCCTCTTCCCAAAAACTAATCAATTGAATACAATTGACATAAATTGATTTTTCCAATCATTTTAACCGTGTGACTGATAAATCTTAATGATCACGATATCTAACTGAAATTTTGTTAATCGAAATCATCACCATATGTAACTGATTGCTTTCGATCGGTTTTTCATTTTCTACATAGATTTGTAAAATATGTACCATATACAAAATAAAATTTGAGAAATGTAAAGTAAACCTTTTTTCAGATTTTGTGTAAAACTGTTTCGAAAAAGTTCGAACATATTTTTTGTCGATTCTTGAATATATTCATAAAAATTAGGGGTGATTGCAGATATTAGATAAAATTAAGATAAATATCTTATGTCGAAATTTTTTTATTAGTAACTATAATTAAAATGAGAAGAAGTAGGTAGAACAATTACATAATTATGTTATACAATTATTCGTGTAACTGTATATACTCACTCTTGTATAAGCATCGCAATCGTATATGTGGTACACTTTTCCATAGATGGCAACGTCGTAACCTAGATTCAAATCTTTCCACGTATATGGTACTCCGTGCTCGTTTTTCGGGATTTTTCCTCGTTTTACCATTCGTCCCTGCGGGACTCCAGCATTCTAGACATATGTTATTATCATAAAGTTATCGCAAATGGAATTTTGGATATTTACGGTAAAAAAATATGTTGTATGTGTTCAATAATTCAAGTCAAAAGAAGAGAATCTGGGATATATCAGCATTAGTTGTCACATGCATCATTATGCTAATTTTTACATTAAAAATATTCAAATGATGTATTTTATTAAATTATTCTCTCTTACGCTAATTCTCACAATATATAGGTTGAAATTTTGGCCACGATGTGATTGATAGATGTCACCATTAGAGTTTTCTCTTTATATCAATAATTAGCTGACCCGGCAAACGTTGTTTAGCTAAGTAAGGTTTTTTCTAAACAATTTCTAGAAAATCAAAAAAATTAATACTTTAAGTGTGTAAGAGTGTGTTGTTTGAATGCTATATACAATGAGGGCGGAGCACAAAGGTCCAATTTGTCTTTGAGCAATTATAAATTATATAATGAAAACCAAACCAATTATATCACAACAAATATACATTTTAAACGAACAATTATCTGACTACGTTCAGTAAAACTGCCACTTCATCATTTTAGAAATGTCCTTTTTTTGCTGTATTTCAAAAATTTGTTATTTAGACATTTTTACCCTATAGACGGGGTAACTTGGAACAGCCAGGTGGCAAACAGGTTTAATATCCTATTTGAATTTTAAATGTATTTTACATAATAATTACATTTTTAACTAATGCCAAAAAACTACCAACGGAAGAAAATACTTTTATTATGGATTTTTGATTCATCGTTGGTGAACTTTTTTAACCCAGGACCTTTATATATTACTATCCATTCTTCGATAAATTCTGGGAAATTATAACTGGGAATAAGTTATTCGGCAAAATGTTACTTTGATCGATTCCAAATTTATTTCAAATTATATTAAAAATCAGTACTATTTTAAATAACATAAATAAAAAAAAATTTTAGAAAATGCTTCAATCATTATCGATAAAAATGTATATGGAGTTCTGAAAATTACTCTTCTAAAAAACTAAAAAACAAATTAGAATTCTCAATAATTTAAATCACGACCAGGGTGATACTAATTGAAGCTAATTTCGTCACACTGGATGTCGTCTATAAGGTGACCATATTTTTTCAAGTCAAAGTCGGAACGGAATGCCAATCCGGAACCGGAAGGGGGGAAGGGGGTGTATTGTAATTCGATCTATATGTTTTTTTTTCGTTTTTGAGCCTTGTACAAAAGTTCGTTGTTCGTTTATTTTAATAATTTTTGAAAGTATACCTATTAATTTGCGAAAAAAACAGGTCAATCCGGCTCAAATGGCCTAAATCCGGGACAAAAATTGCATTTAGAAAAACCCAGGACACAAGGGTTAAATCCGGGACTGTTCCGGCCAAACCGGGACGTATGGTTACCTTACTATAAGCGACATCCGTACACATGGGTCGTCAAGCAGAAATCGTCCATAGACGACGCTTGTAGCGAAAGGATTAACAATGTTATTTCTCTCACCCTTGTTGGAGGTTCGAACACCGACATCGTGTCATCCTCTAAAAAGTAGGCTATATTGACGAAACGAACTCTATAATGTTCTTGTGGCGATTCGCTGACACTTTGCTTGAAAAATGCTTTAAATGTCAAACATTTCATGTCGTAGCGTACGAAATGTGGAACAAACGGCTCAATTGCCGCCGGACGCATCCGACCGTAGGTCAATGTGGAGTCGTACCTGGAAGCAAGGAAGCGATGAGATTTTTAATGTTATCAACGTTTTCAAAAGAATGATAAATTTTATTAGGGTAAGTGAGGTAAGCAGGAAGTGCTAAAAAAATTATACTATACTCGATATAAATTATTACCCGCAAAGATCGTCGTCTTCCAGATATTTTGCTCCATCCGCGTCCACAGCACCGCCGCCAACTGAAACGCGAAGGTTTTTCGAGATCGCGTATCCATTCCGAATAGTAAACTGCTGGGGCACGTGAAATCTTGTTTGGGATAAATCACGAAAGTTATAGCCAGGCAGTTTAGGGAGGCCATCCATCTGGTATTGAAATTATTTTTCATTTTCTTAGAATTGTATATAGAATATTACCCGTAGAATCGATATTATTATATTACACCGTAGGATCAATATTATTATATTATGTATTGGCTACCATTTGAAAAACTAAACAATTTTAATCTGGACTATTCGGTAACTTGTGATTTCATTTATATAAAGAAGTAACTAAATATTTAAGTACATAGGCATTCTTCATATCTGAGTTGTTCAATATACGCGTACCCCCGCGTCAGGCCGTCTCTTTATTTGGCTTAGTTGCCGCTTGGCACATATTTAAATTAGTGAAGCATGAATCTAATTGTGTTAATTTACATTGCAATGCAAAATATTAGAGGAATGAAAGCAAATTATTAAAGTTTTATACATTATTTTCATAAATTTATCAAACAAAATTAACGCTTTCAAACGGGAGAATTACAGATGATATAAATATAAAACGCAGAATTGGTTATAAATGAATTAGAAATATGTTTTTTTGCTATTATTCTAAAATTTGTCACTTGTCTCCATTTAGCTTAAACAGAAAAAATACAGCAAATTTCATGGGCATATTTTTATAAAGATTATATTTTTATAAAGACACATTTGCCAGTGTAAGGGTTTAGATGGTTGTTTTACCCCAATCACATGTAACCTTTTATAGAGGTTATATAAAAAAAATCTGTTGAATATAATAAGTTAAAAATAACAATGCATATAATAAAACAATTAAATAACGCGAATTGAAGTGAATCGTTTTCCGCGGATATTCAAGTCCCGCTTTACCATTTATTTATATTAGTTTTTATATTTATATTTGCTTTTTAATTTAGCTGTTTCTATATATATTTAAATGTGCATCTAGCAAAAAATACAGGAGATGTCTTCGAAAAATTTAAAGTTAGAGTAATAAAAATGAAAAACTAAACCCGTAATGAATAATTTAGCTTTTTCATTAACTTTGAATAAACTGAATCGACATTGAGTGAAAAATGTCCACAAAAAGACAGTAATTGACCAGTTATTCATCAGGTTAAAAATGATTAATAAAATTGGGAAGCTTTGTAGGGAGGTGAAAATTGATGGGTAGCATGGATACATGAGGGTAGCATGTATATTTCAAACTCCAATACATTAAGAAATAAATATTAGAGTTGAATAACTCCTGATGAAATTAATTTTTTATATGAAAAATTGAGCTTTTTCATAAGCTCAAAAAATCTCTATCGAAATTCAATTAAAAACATTCACTGACAAAAATTGAGATGAAAAATGATGTAATCACTATGATAATTCTTACGAAATAGAGGTTTGTGGGTTGAATATAATTTGAGTTATATATATTTAATTATCAATAGTTATCACCAATCACTAATTATTCACAAGTTATGTGTTGTTAATATGTATAAGTGTTAATCTAAGAATTTCAAAACCACTGATGTAGAATTTTACGTCGAAACATATGGAAAAATAATGATGTTTTAAAAATCTTAATTTTTTACTTGATGTTACGCCTTCCAAGAAATTAACCGTATATATATATACGAGTATATTATAGAATTTTATGATATGAGTGGAACGAATATTAATTGTTTAATATGAACAAAACAGCACTCAGATTTGTTTAACACAACTTTATTTTATGATTACAGACGTTTCGAGACCATGGTGTGTCTCATCTTCAGTGTAATTTCAAAAACAGTTACTTATATACTACACATTCTTTAATAATTTATTTAAATTTCATTTAATTTTTGGTATACAAAAAACACCAACTATTCCTTGTAATGCTTGACACAGTACTAAATAAACATATAACACTTACAGAAATATTCTAAACAAATTTGAAGTACTTATCTAGATGGAGACAGAGAGGGTATCATTATAATGTAAACAAAAGGAGTGCTATCGCATACAAAAATCGATAAGAATGAAAAAACAAATTAATTTATTGAAAAGAATAAGATAAATGAAAAAATTTTATAAATTATTAATGATGTTTATATAAGTGTCATGTAAAATATTTGTGTCGGTTCTTAGATTTATGCTATTGTTAGTCCGAACTATTAACATTGATTCTGCCATGCTCCGTTTAAATAAGTCTTTCTCATGGAATAAAATTTGGGGATTGTCAAAATCAAACTTATGGTTGTTGATATTAGCATGATCCACAAGTGTACTTTTAAATTTTTTGTTATCTATTTTTTCACATTGTAATTCATGTTGCCTGAGTCTCTTTTCTAAGTTCTGGCAGGTCTGGCCAATATAAGAGCAATTACAATCCAAACAATTTACTTTATAAACTATATCTTTCTTTTTTGTTAATGGAGTTTCATCTTTAATTTTGGAATATAAAAATTTTAATTGTTTTAATGGAGAAAAAGTGATACGAATATTGTGTTTTTTGAAAAGTCTTTTTGATAATTGGTTAAAATTAGATATGGAAAATTAATGAAAAAAGTTTTTTCAGGAACACTTGTTTTGCCAGGCTCTTCCGGTTTCTTATCAAAAGGTTCAAGTAATTTTGCGACTCTATTTTTAATAATTGGACAAATTAACTTATATGGAAAACGATCCTACTTGGCAATAATTTTCCATATAAGTTAATTTGTCCAATTATTAAAAATAGAGTCGCAAAATTACTTGAACCTTTTGATAAGAAACCGGAAGAGCCTGGCAAAACAAGTGTTCCTGAAAAAATTTTTTTCATTAATTTTCCATATCTTGACAATAATTTTAACCAATTATCAAAAAGACTTTTCAAAAAACACAATATTCGTATCACTTTTTCTCCATTAAAACAATTAAAATTTTTATATTCCAAAATTAAAGATGAAACTCCATTAACAAAAAAGAAAGATATAGTTTATAAAGTAAATTGTTTGGATTGTAATTGCTCTTATATTGGCCAGACCTGCCAGAACTTAGAAAAGAGACTCAGGCAACATGAATTACAATGTGAAAAAATAGATAACAAAAAATTTAAAAGTACACTTGTGGATCATGCTAATATCAACAACCATAAGTTTGATTTTGACAATCCCCAAATTTTATTCCATGAGAAAGACTTATTTAAACGGAGCATGGCAGAATCAATGTTAATAGTTCGGACTAACAATAGCATAAATCTAAGAACCGACACAAATATTTTACATGACACTTATATAAACATCATTAATAATTTATAAAATTTTTTCATTTATCTTATTCTTTTCAATAAATTAATTTGTTTTTTCATTTTTATCGATTTTTGTATGCGATAGCACTCCTTTTGTTTACATTATAATGATACCCTCTCTGTCTCCATCTAGATAAGTACTTCAAATTTGTTTAGAATATTTCTGTAAGTGTTATATGTTTCTTTAGTACTGTGTCAAGCATTACAAGGAATAGTTGGTGTTTTTTGTATACCAAAAATTAAATGAAATTTAAATAAATTATTAAAGAATGTGTAGTATATAAGTAACTGTTTTTGAAATTACACTGAAGATGAGACACACCATGGTCTCGAAACGTCTGTAATCATAAAATAAAGTTGTGTTAAACAAATCTGAGTGCTGTTTTGTTCATATTAAACAATTAATATATATATATATATACATATTCATACATACGAATAAATGGTACAGCTTTAGAACGAGGAATAAATAACTTTTCAAGATCCGCTACAACATTTTTCGACGTATGCAAACCAGAATAGCAGACGCTCGCAAAAATGCTGAAACTTTTATTACTCTGATTTTTATAGAAAATTGTCTGCGTTGAAAAACAAAAAAAGTTATAATATAATGCTGAACTTTTTCTTTTAGTATATGTTCGAACTGAAGACTAACACTGTTTCGTTACTATAGACAAAGAGCAAATATGATATTATAGAGTTATCATAAAGATCAATAGCTAAAGCTTCATAATAATTTATCATTATTATTTATTCGATTATTTTATTTTAGCAGTAGAATTGAAATAAAATTTCTGATTAATATTCTTACTTATCAAACCTTTTCGAGGCAAATGATTTAGTTAAGAAAGTTGTGCATTCAAAACACTAAGCGAGTAAATTTATCATTATAATTTCACTTTTTCAAAAAAACAATGTTTTATGCTGATATATAATGTACAATTCCAATTTATCATCATTTTGAAGCCGTTCATAGAACAATGCAGTGAATTATTTACTTATTACATTTCAAAATTAAAATACTACAACCCTATTATAAAAATTATCCATTCTGTTTCAACATAAGATGCAAGCAATTACATGAACAAATTTGCGAAATACGTCTAAATGTTAACCATATTACTACTGCTAAGTACTAATACTAATCATTTTGAATAATATTTAAGTTATTTTAACTTACCTTAATATGGTATCCGTCTTCTATATCAAAAATAAAAAATCTAAATTCTATACACTAAAACAATAAAGTAATATCCCATTGTGTTATCGAAAACATGACCCAAAAATATGTAAAACAAAAGATTCTCATTCAACTGACAGCGTTGCAATTTGAGAATCGAATATTTTATGAATTCCAAACAAAATGTACTTTTGTCTTGAATTTTGGTTTAAATTGCATGATTTTTTCCACTTTATTTTTATTTTGTTTCATTTTCTTCATAGAACAATATTTGAATAAAAATCGTACATGCGTCACGTATTTTTATTTTCAAATTTATTTATTTATTTAATTTTCATAACTATTTTAATATTATTAGTTTACGCGATATTTAGAATGAATTTATTTATTTTTGTACATATTGAATTTAGAAGCAATTATAAAATTGATTTTTATGTTCCTTTTTGCGTTATTTCTATATTTTAGAATATTAATTATTAATTAAACTATTACGATAAGTAATTTATAATCTATCATAAAAGTAAGAATAGGAGATGTATATCAATAGTTTAAAGAAAATAATAAACTATTACAAATTTAGTTTTGGAATAATATTTTTGTATCATATTTGGTTGGTTTAATTTGTTTGGAAAAGATATGAAGAATTTGCAGAATAAACTTAAAAATAAATTAATATTTTAAATTTACTCACGGTTTAGCTTATTTAAAAATTTTGTTTTCTGTCAAATCGAAGAACTACATCTCCTGCCTACCTACTCCTACAATTTGTGTTAAATTTCTTATTTTTATTACTATTTTATTACACTAAACTTTTTAAAAAGCTTTTTTAGTTCACGAGTGCAATATTTACTTCATAAACACAGTAAAGTAAATGTAGCTTCATCTACGGAAACTGATCAAAATTATCGCTTGTGAGCATAGGAAATAGTTAGAACACTATATTATGTGGGATCGAACTAATAATCGGTCGCAACTAAAGAAACAGAATTTAGTTGAACAATTTAACATGCGAGAACCGCGAATGAATGAAACTTGTCAATATGTCATTCGTGCAAATGATGTAGTTCCTTATGAGCAGCCACCTTCGTAATCTGGAGACGAAGCGCTAAAAGCTCTCTCAAGACAACAGTTCGTGAACTGAAGTTCATCCGTCTGTCATATGTTTTGTTGTGTACACGATGGTACGTGGCCGCACGGCGTGTTCGCGTATGATATTGATTTAATACCTAGAGGAGCCGTGAGTCAGTTGTCATGGTTACCTGTATTACCTGTACAAACGTAGCTCTTGCTCTGAGTCGCGAGTTTATTTTGATCGAGAATCCGTCAAGGTCACGAGCTTTACCTCTCGCAAGTGTAAAACGGAAATACAACATGAAAAGCGTGCACGAGTGGGCGTGGCACCCTTTGACAAGGAAATGGACGGTGATGAAATAGGCGTGTGTTTTGTTTATGGGAAACTGAGTACATGTATTAATTATAATTATACAATTGAGAGGCTTGTTTGGTTCAGAATTTAAAATCGTATGGGTTACATATAGTTTGTTCTTTCACAAATCGCTTGGATTTTGGGAATAATGTAATGTGACATTTTTGAATTCTCTCTATTTTTTTTCTAAAATCGAACACATGACAAATTTGAGAAAACTTGCTGAAAAACATATCTCTATAATTAGGAAAAACGGTTTAATCTAACTTAAAAATCTCTCTACTTTCAAATATTGTTGTTAAAAAATTCCTAACTTTACTTGTTTTTGAGATATTGGTTGTAGATCTTTTTACCTGCGAGCTTTTAAGTCTTAGCACTCCCCTAATTATTTTTTCTCGATTGTATATTCATTTTTGCACAAAAACCAAATTGTAGACTGTTTTCAACCGAAGAACAATAAGATGGGCATTCGAAAGTGACAAATGAGTACAAGGCTTCGAGGTTTCCGAAGTAGAAAGTGCAACCCGCGCTCAAAAATAATGTCTTTTGATAACAGAAACTCCAACTAATGCTAAAAATAATTTTGTAATAGAGAAAGAAAACATTTTTTTTCAATCGGTTCAAGTCAGGGAAGAGTAGGTAAAACCTATGTAAACAATTAATTGTACTATGTAAACAATTAATTGGCTTATTGTTAAAAAAATTTGCAAAAACATTTTTTTTTCAATTACTATAAAATTGACTGCATAATGCGTATAACTAAAAAACTAACACTGATCGGTTCAGCACAACTAGAGTTGATTAATTCAACGCGGAGGAAGTTCACAAAAATTGAGCAAATCATCCATATTTCAATCGTAAATATTTACGTAAAAGTATTTTCTTCAGCAAAATCCTAAATTATGCGTCAAATTTGATTTTTTTGCGTTGACAATTTTAAAATGTCAAGTTATCGTTGGTGTGCGGTTTATAAAAAACTGACCCATAAATAAATTAAATTTAAAAGTATTAGATCTATAAGAAAGTTCTGTCTCTCTTTGGAATACAACAAAAATCTTTTGCAAATTATTTATCTTTATTGAATAAGATAATATTCCATTTTGATTAATGATCTCTTGCCAGAGAGAGGGCATATCGTATATCTCATTTTTTTAAAAATATTTCATTTTTAGATGCTAAAAATTGAACTAATGCTTGTTTGACATTCTTCTTTAACTTTAAGTTTTTTGCTTGTCAAAAACAAGTCATATGTATGTAATCCACTTTTAATCCCCATTTATAATCTAGTTCGAAAAGGGCTATTTTGTTCAGAGCAAGCAGAGATGTGCACATGACAACAATACAATTCATGAAAATAAAATTCAATAAAAAAACATACAATTTTTTCTGGCTTATTTATGTAGCCCGCATCTTGAATACTTTCACACCATTCATATTTTTTGAATATGGCCAAAAATAGTTTGTTGAGCTGAATTAATCCTCTCTGTGATCTCTGATGTTGTCAGAAAACGAAAGAGGATCTTGCTTTAACATTACTTACTACATTAACAACGTCGATCAAAAATGCTCGACCAGAACAAAAAGGTCAAAATCGGCTGTTTAAAATTTTTCGTACCATCTTTTGCATGTTTTATCAAAAACTGTACTTTCACTAAATACTTTCAATAATGTTCTACATCATTTAGTAGCATTTTTTATCTTTTTAAAATTTATATAATTAACAAGCGTAATTGATTTATCAGTTGCCTGAGCATACTATCATTTCACACTTAAGAGTAATGTGAATCACTTTCATTATATTTTATTTTCTGTATCGACATTAATGGTCTAAGCTTCTAAAGTATAACATACTAAAATTTTATAGGCAACGATTTTTTTAACTGTAATTTGGAATTCCTTTTGTGTTTTGTACTGATAACCATTGATGTTTACATTTGCATAAAATACATTTTTAGAATACGAAATAGAATGAATAGTATTAGTTAAATTTAATTTAATTAATGTAATTGCAAATGTCATAAGTCTGTTTGAAAGCGAAATAATAAGTTGAACATTTTATTTTGGAAATTTGAAAATGTTGTTCGAATAGCTAAATTTCAACTCTATTAATCAGTCGATTTTATTGAATCGATTACGATGTTCATACAACTTGTGTTAAGACAAAATGCCGCTTACAAGAAGTTACAACTATAAATGAACTAACTAAATGTGAATAACTATTTTGAAAATGTACGACATATGAATGTAATTCAGTAACAGATTGACTAAATTTAGTTCAAGCTGATGGTGGTCTCCAGTTTACGCAAGTCTACTGAATTTCATCAGATCTGAATGCACACTACGTAGTAGTAGCAATATTGTCTGTTTCAGTTTAGAGTAGATCATGATGGACTTAGGACCCATGCGATAAATTTTAACTAAACTTATAGTATTCAAAAAAAATTAAATAATATTTATTTATATTTGTTTTTTTTTTTCTTGCAGGATCGTTCCCTTAACATGTGGCGTACGAATTTCACGCGCTTGATTCAAACATATGGTAGTTCCGCTATCCCTCGCCCATTGTCCCATAGGGCTTCCGCTCAAAATGGCTTCGGTTCTGCGCTGGACGTGTCAGCGGAAGTGCGACAGGCCTTAGAAGGAGGAAAACCAGTTGTCGCACTCGAATCTACTATAATTACTCACGGAATGCCGTGGCCCAGTAATTTTGAAACTGCAATTGCAGTCGAAAATGTTGTTAGAGAACAAGTGAGTGTCAGTTGTTTTTTTTTGAAATACTCATTCTGTTCCAAAAAGAGCAGTATTAAAACGTATTAATTGCAATATTTTTAGATATTTAGATAATTTTCGGTTGATGGTTTCAAGACATTCTAGCCTTGTAACTAAATAAATGTAATAATGAATATTCCCAATTTGATAATAACCATTTCATTATATGTTGAAGTTTTAATGATAAAAAAAGAGTCGCGTAAGGTTCGAGATGGCATTAAAGTTAAAAATAAATACATCATATAACTATTTTAAATACTGTTTAGTAGTAATATGATAACACTCGCTATGAACACATTTATTAGTGTCGACCATTATACACATTTATATAATAATAAATTATAAATTATATATTTAAAAATATGTCTAATATTTGAAAATAATAATGTAATTAAAGTCATACTTGAAATACGACATGATCGGTTTGTCATTGTTATTAGCATTTACGAATTGAATCTTTATTAGAGAAATGAAGTAATTACTGATCAATAATATAATATTCGTTCACACCGTGGATTATGTTAAAAAACGCCAAAAGAAATATTGTTTTCACAATTTTACTCATCTTGTAATAATTGTGTTTGAAGAACTTTATGTGTATAAAATTAACATACATTCATTGACTGCTTGTATTTTTTTTTACTTTTTTGCTGGCGATATAAACTCATTATTTGAGCAGCTGTAATATCTATCTTCCCTAAAAAATATTTTCCATTTTAATAACTTCAAAAATGTATAGAAACTACGAATAATATAGAAATTATTTCAATAAACTTACGTTTAGTACACGGCACAAATGTTTCATTTGTTTTATTATTTTCATTATAATTATTTACAGGGAACAGAGTAAAATATTCTTTTGATTCAGACATTTTTTATTAAATTAAGATTTGTACTACCATGTAACCTTAAAATGTTTATTTATCTATGCCGATTTCCTTGTCGATATCGGTACGCATACAACATTGAACGACATATCTCTATTCACGCGGCACGACGACTAATCACAATCGACCCGTATAGAAATGATTTCATCGAAAGCGAATGACGTATAGTTCGGGCGTAACGCTATTTCCGTTGCATTCTCACAGATTTACAGCCCAGTCGCGCCTAAAAAATTTTACTTCAAAAGTAAATTTTATTGATAACTTTACTTATTAACAATTACTGCATAATAACTTTTTGAATTCAGGGAGCTATTCCGGCAACCATTGCCATTTTATCAGGACGCATAAAGGTTGGGTTACTACCAGATGAATTAGAACTTTTAGCGAAGCCTAAGGATAGTTCTGTAAAACCGCCTCCTATAAAAGTATCAAGACGTGATATACCATATGCCTTAGCTAATAATCTTGATGGTGGCACAACTGTGGCTGGTACTATGATTGCTGCTCATATGGCTGGCATACCGATCTTTGCCACGGGTGGAATTGGTAAGTTCATTTTTTCTATTATAGTTTTACTGAATAGAAATTTAGTGCAATTTGTAAATAACGTATACCGCATACGGTTTTACATTTGTTGCGTATGGCAACAAAAAGTACAGCAGCAACGTCTCATTGGCAATTTTAAATATTTCTTATTATTTTATTCATAACTAGCCGACCCGACAGACTTCGTCCTGTCAAAAAAATTTGTAATGTGGCGGTGTTTTGTTTCTACCTTTTTCTATTCTTTGCAAAAAATTATCCTAATCGGAGTCGGAATCATTGGGATGCACGGTGCGAGATTATCTTCTGCTTTATACTATCCTTTCAATATAGTTGCTTCCATCACGTTGTTTGGTAGTTTTTAATCGCTAACCTTGTGCCGTTGCAAAGGCGCGGTTGGTCAATATTTTGCAACATTATATTTGCTGATCCAACCTTTAATTGAAGATTGTGAGGTGGCAATCCTAGCAAATCCAGCGAGTTTAAAAACTCCGCTGGATCGTCTTGGTTAGTTGCTGAATCAACTGATTCGCCTGTAATTTGTTCTTGAATTTTGAAATTTAATTCATTTACATCAATGTTTTTGGCTGCCAACATAGCTCGTTAATTAATAGAAAGATATTTCTATGTTTATATAAATATATTAAAAATTAAATTATCAAAAACTACACAAAATGTCATGACATAGATCATTGTTTTTTCTACAAATTTCGTTGCCTACTCGATTAAAAAACAAAAGGGCTGTTTTTAGGATTTCCCGGCAATTATTCGATTTTTTCTCGCCGTAACAACCATCCTTGGACATCAACGAACATTTTAAAAAAAGAATTGGCCAAATTGGTCCAGGCGTTGTTGCGTTATGCGCTCACCAACACATTTTGCGATCCATTTTTATATATAAGATTAGTAAGCATGAAGAAGAAGGATAACGTTCATATAAAATTGTATACGACAAAAATAAAAATAAATGAGCACATACATGAGTATATATACCATCACTCAATAAGTCCGTAGGATAACACATAGATGATGTAGCTATGTAATCAACCATATGATTCGTAGGAAGCAGCAACTTTAAGAAGATATATGTAAAATTTATGACAATCGAACGATTAGTTTACAAGTTTCAAGTGACGCAACCTTTGAGTTTTTCAGAACGATGAATTCAAAAAAATTTTGTGTGTTAATTTATCATTGGTATTTGATGGGTAAAAATATCATTGCTGCCAAAATATCGCTTGATAAGTGTTATCTGGACAGTTCCAAATCGAGGTAGATAGTGAAGAAGTGGTTTGCTGATTTTAATCGTGGCCATGCAGTCACTGACGATCCTGAACGCCCTGGAAGGCCAATTGAGGTGGTTACACCGGAAAATATCAAAGTCCACGAAACGTTTTGGAAAACCGAAAAATAAAATTGCTTGAGATGGCTGACACCCTAAAGATATTAATATAACGTGATGGATATATCGTTCACGAATATTTGAATAGGAAAAACCTCTGTGCTAAATTGGTGCCGCGCAAACTCACATTTGACCAAAAGCATAACGAGTTAATGTATCGTAAGAGCATTTGGAGCTATTTAATCGAAATAAATCTGAGTTTTTTGCATCTATATGTCACCATGGATATGACTTGGCTTCAACGCTACACACCGGAGTCGAATAGACAGTTAGCCGAGTGGACTAGAGACGATGACGAGAAAAAATGCAACCATCAGCTGGCAATGTTATCGCGTCAGATATTTGGGATACGCAAAAAATGACCTTCATCAACTATCTGAAAAAAGGCCAGACCATCAACAGTGACTATTGTATTACGTTATTTGAACACTTGAAAATCAAAATCGGAAAAATGACCCATTTGAAAAAGAAAACCGCGCTGTTCTATCAGGACAATGCACCAAGACACAATTCCGTGAAAACAGTGGCCAAAAAAACATCAAATAGGCTCCGAATCGCTCCCGGACTCACTATATTTTCTAGATTTGTTCCTCAGCGACCATATCCTGTTTTCAGATCTCAAAAGGATGCTCGCTCTAAAGAAATGTTTGCCAAATGATGAGATGAATTTTATGGCTAAGTACAAATCCTACTATTTACAATAATGGTTTCGAAATTCGAATTTCACTATAATCGGTATATCGTCCTCGAAGGAAACTATATTGAATAAAAAAATAAGTGGGTTTTTCTTAGTTATCTACGGACTTATTGAGTGAAGTGATATATATTTCAGTGCCATTTATCATTGTAATAATTTCATTTATTTTGAAAATATCATTTGTTTTACATTCTTATTAATAATTTACTCTTAATTTTTAACAGGTGGCGTTCATAGAGGTGGTGAAGATAGTATGGATATTTCTGCAGATTTGGTGGAATTGGGTAGAACTCCTGTTTCAGTTATATGTGCAGGTGTTAAAAGCATTTTGGATATTGAAAGAACATTAGAATACCTGGTAAACCTTTCGAATTGATTTCAAATATTTGCTACCGCTAATTATTTAACTAACTTTCGTTTTAAATCATTCGTTTTATTAATTTTACCGCTGATAATATGATTTAATAATTGTTAATTTTCCGCTAGGAAACCCAAGGAGTGCCAGTAGCTGTTTTGGCAGAATGCAATTTTTTCCCTGCATTCTACGCCTGCTCACATGCCGGTTTAAAAGCTCCCCAACATGTCACAACTGTGTTGCAAGCTGCAAAGCTCATTGCGATGTCGCGAAAAGCTCAACTGAGCAACGGTTCTCTTATTGCAGTTCCAGTACCAGAAGAGTTTGCTATGGATGGTGAATTTTCACATTATAAAAAATACGCTAGTCTCAATAATTGTATTAATATAGTTGATTATATTTTTATTCATAGAAAAGCAAGTGGATGAAGCCATTGCAACAGCGTTAAAAAAAGCTTCAAATGCCCATGTTCGTGGTAAAGAAGTGACGCCATTCCTTCTACAAGCCATTAAAGAAATAACACATGGACGCTCACTTGAAACAAGTATCCTTTGACAATAGCGTATTATTTTATCAATTCAATGACTAAATGTGTTGAAAGGAAATTTTCGTGCCTATAGTTAGTTGTATATATCTCTTTATATATTCACACAGATATTGCTCTCGTTAAGAATAATGCCAAAACGGGTGCTCAGATAGCGTTGGAGTTGATCAAATTAGAGAATTGTGAACGAACAAGTGATATAAATAATGAAGTGAAAAAATGTCAGGAAAAGATGATTTATCACGATCAGAAGAGATATCATCATACTTTAACTCCGGTAAGTCCATGACCCTGCATCAGATGTGCATATTCATATTAGATGCAAGGAATTATATTTTTAACTTCCCGTAGGGCAAGTTATAGTAATCGCAAAAAAATCGAAAATGAAATTTTTTATATATCTTTACGTTTCAGAGGTTTCTGAATATTTTGGCATACATTAGAAAAAATGGATGTATGTGTGTGTGTATGTGATTGTGTGTGTATGTGTTTGTGTGCGTGCGTGTATGTGTATGTATGTGTGTGCGATTTCGGGAACACGGATCAACCAATTTGAAAAATTCAAAAAACATTCGATTCGTATTGATAAGGAGACGTGCTGATTAGTTTTTGGCGAAGGCAGGTCTAGCCGTTCCAAAGATACGGGGCAAAAAGTGTCGAAAACGGTAACTCAGTTTTTAAGAGAACGGAGCGTTCGATTTGAATAATTCAAAAAACATTTCACTTGTATTGACAAGATGAAGAATTGATCAAATTTTCATAGTTACGGAGATCTAATGAAAAAAGTAAAACAATGCCATTCGGCGGTTAAAAATGATCATTAGATATATGCACATCAAATTATCAGATATTTTATAGAGATTTTAACAATAAGTATATTTTTTTTTACATTTCTATGGGTTCCGTATCAATGCTTAAATGCGTTTAGACGGCGGCACGGCACTTGCGCGCTTTGACATTTCGTCTCTATGCAGTTAAAGCAGTACGATTGCTTTGAAAAAAAGTTCAGAATTTCCAAAATATGTGAAAATGAAGAAAACATTTTTCTTTTAAAAAAAATTTTGTTTAAAAAAAATTTTTTTTTTCAAAACAAAATAATTTTTTGTCAAATTTATAGTTTCTCTAAAATCTGATTTTTTCGAAGTAAAATTTTTTCAAAAATGTTAATCGTTTTTAAAAAAAATAATGATTTATGGTACGGGAAGTTCCAGCAATTTGCCTTAAGGCACGATGCCTTAATTGCCTTAAGACAGAATTCCACTTACAGCTAGTTATATTTTTGATGTTACATATTAATTGTTTGGTAACTTCTATGTGTCTAACCGACTTCACAAATAAGAATAATAAAAATATGTAGATTCGTGAAAATGTACATGTATATAATATATTATATGCATATTTGTGAAAAAAAAAATGGTTTCAATACCATTTTTCATAATGCTTTGTACGAAAGTGTTTGGGATACTACAAAAACAGGATAACAAAGGATAACAGAGATATCTAATTGCCACAAATCAAACCTCTAATATGAGTTATTAATTATTTATTTACAGTTGATATATGCAAATCTATTATAGACTAGTAAGAGTGGGAAAATGGAAAGTTATTTATAATTTATTTGTATCAATTGCAATTTAAACATAATTTATTTTCAACTTCTCTTTTATAAGAAAAATTTATTCTCATGTTCGAATAATAAAAAAATATAGACAAAATAGAAAAAATATTGAAATGTTAAATTTTCCATACGTACTTATTTTAGGAGATATTGATCTACAGCGAATTCCACAGGGACATGCTTCACAAAGATGGTAATTAGTTTCTGGTGATAATTTCTAGTTATCACTTCGCTAGCATGACAGTTTAATAGTTTCGCGGATAAGTCAGTGATTGATAATAATCAAGAACCCACTTGTAATTTAGGTTCACGATATAATATGTATTATACTCGAATACACTGGTAATATGTTTACAGACTATATGAATTATATATGGCTTTTGCGCGTAATTTCAACATCGCGCTGAATTTGAGTGTCTAATTTACCGCTGATAATTCCAAACGGGCTTTGAAAATTGATATCGAATTAGCTTCCTTCAGCGCATTTGCATTATACCTAATTATTTTGTTTGTAAATATATAAAATCAAAGATAATAGAGACCAGAATGAAGTTATACTAAAGTCAAATTCATGACGGGAAAACGCATTATTTTTTTTGATTTGTTATAATAAGAAAAACTTATAAAAGTTCATTTTTCGGTCTCTCCACCATTTTCCGATTTTCACTACCCTCTTTACTATCTAACTTGCAAGTGTACGACAAAATTGAATCGGCATTATTTTTATTATCGCTTATAGAGGATGTATCTACACCATACCTATCAGCTAACTTACTGCCGGTTTCGCCTTTTTTAATGATTCTATAATATTTATTTTATCTTTAAGGGATATACACTCTTTAAAAATGCATATATGCACGTCAAAACAGAGAATGTATTAATGTATATATGCACATCAGAATATGCAAGTTTCGACGCGATTATGTCCGGATAATCGCGAATCCGGATAACCGAGGTCCGGATAATCGAGGTTCTACTGTACTTATCTCTAGGACAAATTAATTATTTGAAATCATTCCAAAAGCTTGATTATTATACCTTATGAAAACCAATTTAGCGTGTAATGAATTGTTAAACAAAATATGTAACTAGCATTTTCTAGATTTTGTTCTTGAGTTTCGAGAAACTATATTTGTTAAATTTTTGGCTCGAGTAAATACTTTCTAATTCTAATTGAGTTATATAAGAAAGATCTAGTTGTGCTAATTGTAAGATCATTCATATAAATTTTGGCATAGGTATTTATAAATTTCGCTTTAAGCAGTTAATCGGTAGCAATTTTAAAATTATATAAAAAAAGTTGAAAGTATAACAAATATTGATATAAAAAACCTAGTTGTGGTGTTTTTTTCTTCTAATATAAAAAGTGCTCTCTGGCACTAAATAGAATATACTGAATAAAATTTGTTCGAAATGCGTGGAATTATTTTTAACCTATATTATTTGCTCCAACTTACAGTTCAATATTTTCATGTGGATTTTAAATTTTAATTTATTTGTTTTATTCAACCTTAGCTTAGCTATAATATGATACATTAATAATTTTTTGCACCTAATTATGATGTTGATACAAACTTTTTAAATAAACAATTTTTTTAATTATAGGTAGTGGTCGGCGGTTCAAATGCAGACATCTATATTAAAGTTACCGATCCGGATATAAAGGTTAGTTGAATTTAATTTTTTTTGAATATATGTATATATACATATATATATATATATATATATATATATATATATATATATATATTAAATGTTAAATATGAACAATACAACATTCAGATTTTTAACACACACTTTATTTAATTTTTACAGACGTTTCGAGCTCATGGTATGTTTCATTTTCAGTGTAATTTCAAAACAGTCAAAATTTTTATTGTTTTAAAATTACACTGAAGATGAGGCATACCCTGGTCTCGAAACCTCTGTAATTATTAAAGTATTTGGGTATTTATTAAAGTTCATATCAGTACAAACATATTTTTTCAATAAAAGAAGTACTTGCGACAATCGTACACGTGATTCACGAGAAGTAAAACTTATATAACAATAAAAAAAATGAGTTGAGGAAAAATTGATTGAGAGAAATAGAAAAATATAGTTAAAGCTTTGTAAAAGAATACCTATATTAAATTTATCAAAATGTCAGGTACAAAAATTAGTACAATTTTATATTTAAAAATGAGTTTTAAAGTTACGTTTACGTTTATTTTTTAAATCAAAAGATTATTTCTCAATTTTATTTGATTTGTTATCTATATCTTATAAGATAACATTGAAGATATACATGATAAAATATTATATTTACTGTTAAAAACATCTTAAAAGTAAAGGGCATTTTAATTTATTTTAAATTTATAATTATCATAACATCTATATTTCAAATTAATTTTGTCTTTTTTTTTCCAATAACTTTGCATGTTATATACGTAAATAATGCAAATATAATCACTTCAATTAAATATTTTGTTTAGATACAAAATTATGAAAATCACTACGTTGTAATTATAATTTACGTCAATATAATATTTTCGGATCTTCTATTTTTTTCATTTAGATTATGATTTATCAATTTCATTATATATAGTATCATCTTAATATATTATTTTCTTCATTTTTATTTCATTTTCTAATATGTAAAAGCGATTGTTCAAACCCACATTTTTAAATAATTGTTGTATTGTAGTAAAGTTATTAAAAGCTCACGTTCTTTATATATTTTTGATGCACTACAAGCGCAAAAGCATTATTATCAATACAATGTTAATACAATTTAAAATTTCCCTCGCAACGTCTTCGAAATTTCACTCGCAATTTCTAAGAAGTTTCACTTCAAGTTAACCATTTACTTTAGGATTTAAATAAAAAATTCGGTATATTTAAATGTAGCCAGTATAATATATTGTGTATTCATCTCAATTCTACTGGATATACTCACATAGCTAACATTTCTTATTTTAAAAATTAAATATAATAATAAACTTCAATTGTGTGTATATAATATTTTTATAATATATATACAGATAAACATACATAATTAGAATAATTTACATAATAATGGTTGTTAATTGGTAATATATATATTTAAATTATCTGTATTTTCTATACATTGTTTTGATGTTGAATATTTCAAAGTTTATCATATACAGTCCATGTAGATCGAGTTTTATTGATGAATATATTTACATTGCACATCATATGATAATTATGGTATGTTTGCTATTTTATAATAAATAAAGCTTGATATAAATAAATTATATTATATAAGTACAATCGAGCGCAGCAGTTATTTTACAAAATATTTTATTTTATATTTTATGGTACAACTTAATAAAATAAGAGTTTCAGTCGACCAGTAGGTAAGATCTATTAAATTTATGGTTTTGATCGAAGGTAGCTAAGATCTATAACTTGCGGCCTAAAGTTTTTAAATTTCATTACTTAAAATTCATATACATTTTTTTCTGATTACCAAATTTATTTGTAAAATCATTTTTTTCTTCAATTTTAATCGAAAGTACTATGCAAATAACAAACCTACACTAATATTAATCTTAACAGACTGACTCATACCTACTAGTGTCTCTTTTACATTTATTATTTTGAGACTGTAGCAATTATTAAATCTAGCTATTGTTATTTGATGTAGCAAAATAGTTTAGTTATGAAAATCAAATTTTTTGAACAATGTCTCATATTCAGTTTTTTGCTATGACGATCTTTATTAATATGATTATGATAGATAGGTACTGTTTAAATTTATAAGTCAAAATATTCGAATATAATGAATCATGTTATTCATTTATGAACGTTTTTCATTTATCCTAAACAAATTAAATAAATATAGAGTTATTAATGTAGCAAACTGGCGCACGATTTCGAATACGGTTGCTAATCTTCTGATTTGATAAAACCTCTTTATCTTAAATCTCGGTCTACAATAATTTACAATAATAAATGAAGCTACATAATAATAAAAATTTAATAACAATTGTTAACAAAATTAAATAGACTGATATTTACCATATACATATATTATATATTTAGATCATTCATACAATTATCACAAAAGCGTAAATCGTCACTGAATGGAAATACGAATTGGGAACACAATGTTTTGCATCAATTATTGTTCTTTGGATGTTTTGTATTATGTGCGTTAGAATTGTTTTAAGCGGTCCTTGGAAGAGAACTATTATATTCTTTTAACATGAGGATTCAATAATAATAATATTATATTTTATCTTAAACTATTAATAACATCATGTTTGTATATATTTGGGAGAAGGCTAAAGATATGATATTTTTCTATACATTCGTATTTGATGTCAATTGAAATTATTAAGTAATTACATAGTGTACAAATTCTGAATGAATAAAACTATTTTAAATTCATGCTCTTATTACAAATGAATAACGAATATGTTATGATAATAAATTTACATTGAAATTGTTTTTTGCAATGGCCAGTTTTCAAAATACCCATCAAGAACAATTAATAAGAACATTTTTTTCGCACATATCTTTATAAATATTTATCACAAGTATTCCAAATATTAAGTACTTTTTATGGATATTTACTTTGAGTATATACATGTGGCAGTTTTCATATGAAAACTGCCATTCACAATTGTGACCTACCTAATATATATATAAGCTTTACATCTTCATTCTATATATTCCAAGCGTTGAATAAATGTTTTATATATATATATATATATATATATATATATATATATATATATATATATATATATATATATATATATTGCTAGTTATATTTTCAAGTTCTAGTCTTTTTATGCTTATTCGCATTCTGTACATAGGCTTTTTAATTTGCTAACAAACTAATTGCAACATATTGGAAAAGGGGCTGTAAATGGAAGAAATTTGAATTATACAAGGTTGCATTACCCAGTAAAAACTACATATATAGCATATATAATCAATTGCATTTTTTAATTTTATTATATAATCTAAAATGATATAAAACTTCAGTTATGGCATATAGAAATCCTGCATGCATTTTGTAGACAGTATTACATTCTATACAATCTTATAAATTAAAAGCTTCATTACGATATTACACCTACTGCAAATAGATGATATTTTAAGTATTTTTAAAGTCATACTACAATCCAAAATCAAAGACATTTTTGCTATTTAATAACCATGATATGAATTTTGTTAGAATTTTAGTACGATGCCACAGTTCGCTGTTTTTTACATATATAAAAATTATCTTGAGACGAATCTAAACAGAATTAGTTTTAATTTTATAATAAATTTGACGCTGTATTTAATTTTTTTGCGTTTTGCTGTAAAATACAATATAAAATTTGTCTAGTGCAAATTAAACGTCTTTGATTTTGGCTTCGATAAAAGGACACCTCGTTTTGTATGGTTATACTTGTTTTACTTGGATTTTTTATTAGTTAATCTGTAACTGTACTGTTTGAGCCTGCGTTTGATTATATTGCAAAGTATGTCATATATAGAATTTTTTGTATAATCCTTGGAATTTGTGTTATTTTTGAGATTTGAAGGAATGAGAAATGGTTTAATGTTTTTTCTCATTCGAATGCAATCCTAGTAAACGCTCTGGAACGCTCTGAAACGCCAATTGATGTGGTTTTACTAAAAAAAATAAAAAAGGCAACCGAATCATTTTTAAAATATCACATAATTGAAAAATAATATTTATTCAAACCATTTAAAATTTCAAAATTTAAGATTTGTAATTTATTGAGAATCATTTAAATGCATTTAGTGATATGTAAACTCAAGGTTTTTCATTGAATATTGTTTTTAATGATTTTTTTTTCTTTCTACACTCTTTATTGCAGGAATTATAAAAAATGATTTTTGTTTAACTATTATTTACTAAAATTTCAATATTATCATATATATATATATATATATATATATATATATATATATATTTAGGCAGTATTATTCATACGAAGTACCTTTTATGTCATAATACGCCATCATCTATTCGCATCGAATGACATGCAAGAATTCCATTAGTACCCATTTTATAATTTTTTTATCATTCTATCTTATTTGTATTCAAAATAAATAAAACGAAACTAATAAAGCTTTTAATGCATTGATGCCCTTATTTAAAAAAATCAAAATACCAATAGGCAGGCACTCGTTATATCTTGAGCTCTATATATTATGTATATAAATTGGAACGTCGATATCTAAATATCGTAAAAATCATTCTACTGGTCATCTTAATACGTTTTATTTTTTGCTTATTTTATATGATCCCTTAAGTTACTGGGGAGTATAATAGGGCATTACATATTAAATAAATAATATTAATATTATAATGTAAATAAAATCTAAAGCAATTAATATTTGTGTGATAATTGCAACTGAATTCGGTGTATCGCATTATTTTTTAAAATAATAAACAATTTTCATACTTGTGTAAAGTTATTGGCAACGTGGAACTTGCAATTATTCATTTTAACTACATCTTACATCATAAAATAACAAAACTAAAATAAGAACAATGGTTCATATGAATGCAAGGTATTCTTATCTGGCAAATCGAAGTCCATAAAATGTGCCGTCTTGGGGTAGATAATTCAATATTTTGCAATCATAAACCATTTTTTTTATCTACATTCGATTTGTATTTGAATTCAAGTTTTTGTTTTAAGCACGTTAAAATCTAAATAGTTCAAAAAATATTATTTGTTATGATTTTTTTAAAATAAAGTTCATTTGATGACTATAGAATTACAATTTTATTAATTGTAAATAAAATTTTAATGCAAGTTACTGGTTGCGATTTTATTTCATTATTAAATATTATTCATAATTTAATTGCAGCACCATTTTTGCTCACATTTTTGCTGTTTCATAAATTTATTATATTAAAATAATTTTGATAAAATAGATAAGTCTTATACTGTAAAAAGTGATAACTATTCAATGATGTTATCGCTCCATATTTTTAGTTAAATCAGTTGGTGTAGTTTACGATAAATTATTCAGAATAAGCCAACATCCATATAAGATATGACATTGATCATTTATGAAAAAAAATTGAGATAAGAGGTTCATGCATGGTTTTCTGGCAATATAAAACTCATTAATACAAGTCATTATTGTTATTGCATTACTAAATTTCAAAATAACTATTTATTAAAGCAAAATGCAAAGTAAATTCACATACAATAGATTAACAACTGTTTGCTATTAGAAAAACTTTTATGCAAAAATTAAATCAATCTTTATCATCTGTTATATAGAATAATTATTCATTTCAATCAACTGCGAGATATAGCACTAATATTGATGCAACTTTCTCAAGAAATTTAGACAATTTGCTGATTGAATTTATGGCCCTCGCTTTAGTTATCTTGTACCAATCATATCATATTTGGGGTACGGTTAATACTTCAATGACTTTCTATAGTTAATAATATTTTAATAAATAGTTTTTTTCCAAATTATAACTTCAAATTTCTCTTTATAATACCATTTTTTCTATATATTCTCCTTAATTGTTTATTGTCTATGTATATGTCATACAAGCCACATGCAAGAACCTCATTACCATAAGTAATAATAAGCTCCTGAATATAACATTTAATAATAGAATCAACAATAATGCATGTGTAACATTTATGTCAATTGCAACGTCGAATAAACGAATAACAAAATATGTATGAAATTTTTTATGGGTATTCTCTTAAATTTGTACATAAGTAACTTCGAATTATTAAAGCGAATTAACATTTAGAATAGATTTTGATATCACAAATTTACTCCGAAGGTGGTTTATTTGAAAAACAGTTAAGGTTTGATAAGTTACATCTTTTGAGTAAGTTCTTATTGCCCTAAGTGTAGAAAATAAGCATCATCTGCTGTATTTTCTGTTTTAAAATTGATTGATGAATTATTCAGATATTTTTACATAATAAGTAACACAAAAAACAGTTTTATACATCCATAGAGTTTAATCATAACTTTGTCTAATTATCCATTCATAACTATTTTCAAAAAAAAAAATTAACCTGTTTGTTTAAATATCTGAAAAATTAGCACCATCAAAATTTTGATACTTATTTCATATTTTTAATAAAGCATGTGTTTACCGCATTCAACAAGTTCAACTTTGAATGTTTGAATGTATGTAACATAAAAGAAAACATTTGAAATTATTTAATAATATATATTCTATCCTAAATATTTATTTAAAAACTTATGAATTATTTTTACAAGTAAATTTTTATGAAATTTCTATGTAACTTACCTAAGCAGGGTTTTTAGTATTTATAAGCTCATAATGCTATATTCTAGTTTATAAATAATTAAAGTTTTATGCATAATATGTATCTTAAAAGGTGCAAAAAATCTATCAGGTAAACGAGATACTCAAGCTGTAGTTTTCGTATTTGTACAGACATTCTATTTTTCTTGTTATTTTAAATTTCCTGTAATTTTGACGATGCGTTTATTTCATGAAATAAATTTTAAGAACGTTCCATCTCGGTAAAAATAGTTGTTTATGAGCGCAATTTTAAACTAATGAGTTCAAAAAACTTAATTCGTTTGCATATTATTGGAAGATACTTTTTGCTAAATGCTTGAAATGAGCTGTATTGGTTGGGGTATTAACAAATTTAATTTAAGGCGATCATGATTTTGAAAATGTTTTTGTCTGAGATGTTGCAAACTTGTGCTTTCTATGATATTTAAAAGTGTTAATATAATTTTATAAAGAAAGGCGTGCAATTTGATTAAACTCGTAACGGGATGATTACATTTGATAATGCATCCAGATCTTTTATTATTACAAATTGCTGAAAGACGAAAATTACTTATATGCATATCCTGGATTACAAAAATGGATAAGTTACAACTTAATTTATTTCAGTCTATAAAATATATTAGTTTGCCTATATATGTATATATAATTTGCAAATAATACATTTACATATAATCCTGATAATTACTTAGTGCCACCTCAGATAACATGCGCCATTGAAAATATTAAATATATCAGTGTACAAATTTAAGAAAAAAAGAGTATAATTTGAATGTATTATTAAAAGTAAGAACACAGTAAAACAATAATGAATTGCCAATAACAACATATAATGAATTAAAATATTTGAAATGTGAAAATATGTCTTGATCATGAATATTGAAATCAG